AGAGGCAAAGCTAGCTGGCTGGCACTATATATATTATACTACACAAAGAATACTTGCTTAAGTATTCTTGTGCTTACCTTTTGGTATAACTTGGAGATGTCACGTAGTATTGATATCGAGGGCAGGGCGCTCATCCATTACACTACTAATCCGCCGGTACGTTGCTTAAATAGGGCTGAGCGAACGGGAAGCCTTGCTGTCTCCTGGCCGCTCACCACAAAAGCCCTTAATTCTACTGTATCCAGTGTTGCTAAAAACAGACCACAAAGGACACAAATTTGCAACACGTATCGTTACCGCACGTGATATTGAGATCGGAGTAGGCGCCAGATGTCAAGGAGCTGCACGCTTGGGTACGAAGTGGATATGGTGTTGGCCCGTGACCTCGTCGTTTACCTAGTCTGTGCTCAATGACAACAATGTTTACCTCTCACCCAACATCACGACAAGCACCTCCTCTCAGATTCTGACACTCACATCCACCTCCATTTGCAGCATAGTTTTAACTATTGCTTGCTACGTCCCATCGGAAGCACACTTGACTACAATGTTACCATGGCGAGTCTGTCGCCCGACTACAAACAGCTGTATCTTGAGGAACAGCGTAGGCGCAAGAAGGCCGAGGCGAAGACCCGCCTGACAACCCTGCCCGAGTTTCTCGACGCATGCCACAACCACCTGCACGCAGGCCTGACCGTCCAGACGAATGTAACACTGTCGACGCAAGGCAACCCTGCGAACGCCAACAACAAGCTCCGGCCAGAAAGACTCCGCGTTTGGGATGATTTCCCTGCGCGTCAAGAAGCGATCTGGAGGGACATGATGGGATCGGACTTTGCCCTGGAACGGCACTTCACCTCAGTGAATACTTTGAGAGAAAACGGGGTGGAGATCCAAGAACGAATGATGGGCTCTGAGCTGGACCTGCACATCTTCCAGCGGTCGACGGTCGAGGAGCCGGTGTCGCGGATTGTCAAGCAGTTGTACAACAACCAAGGGCTGAAGCGCAAGTTTGGCCTGCGCGGTTCTGTGAACTTCGAGAACCACGCCAACACATTGAGCCCCGAGCAAGAGGTGGAAGAGGGCATGCAGAATCTGTCAATATATGGCGGTCCCCAACGACGATCACAACGCTTGAAGGCAAAAGCAAAGGCAGAGGCATCGTCCTCATCAGAGCCCTCGGCCGCTGCCTGTAATAGCACATCACAATCTTCTCGCCCCCGGGCCGACCAATACTGTGTCTACAACACGAGCAAAGAGAGTAGCATAGCGGCCTTCGTCATCGAGTACAAAGCGCCACACAAGATTCCGCTCGGCTACATATATGAGGGGCTGGATGATATGGACCTCGATGATGTTGTCACATGCCGCGAAGCTGAAGGCCCGCAGGACCGCTTCCGCCGACTGATAGCTGCAATCGTCACCCAAGCATTCTCCTACATGGTCCGGGTCGGCGTGGAATACGGATGCGTGTGCACTGGCGAAGCGAGCATCTTCCTGCGCGTTCCGCACGATCCCACGACTGTCTACTACTTCTTGTCTGTGCCCAAGGGCGATGTTGGCGATACCAGCGGATGGACGCCAGACGCAGACGGTCCGAATCGACTTCACTTAACCGCCGTTGGGCAAATGCTAGCCTTTACGCTGCAGGCTTTGAGAACGCCGCCTCGGAGCCAGAAGTGGCGGGAGGAGGCCTCGGCTCGACTGAAGAGCTGGGAGGTCTTGTACGAGGTGCTGCTGGACGACATTTCATCGGATGAGGCACCGTCGTCAGAGTATCGGCCGCCTCGAGACACAGGTTTTCTTCGCATGTCGCCTGTCCGGCTTCGACAGAGACTCACACGCATGGACTCGCCTGACTGCTCGCAGCCGCAGGATCAGCATAGCGCCAGCGACGAAGACCCTGACCGAGATACGCCAAGTCGACCGCCGCCGTTGTTGCCGCGGCTGCCGCAGTCATCTCGCACAAGACCAGCTGCCAGCGGGTCTTCGTCCGGTCGCCAGTCGCGCCATGCGGGACAGGGTGGACAGTATTGCACTCAGAGTTGCCTGCTTGGCTTGGTAAAGAGCGGTCCGCTTGACCTGTTGTGTCCAAACGCAAGGAATCATGGCACAGGCCGTCATCGCATCAACCTGACAACGTTCCTCAAACGCATCCGTCAGCAGCTTTCCAAGGACCTAGACCGGAATTGTGAGCCCATAGGACGCCACGGAGCGTGCGGTGTTCCCTTTTGTGTTAGGCTGGACTCTCATGGATATACCGTGGTCGCCAAAGCTTGCCCGATCGACTTTGTGCATCGTCTCAGGTGGGAGGCAAACGTCTACAACCTCCTCCGTCCTATACAGGGCACGCATGTACCAGTGCTTCTAGGTAACGTGGACCTAGAGGTACCGTACTACTATGAAGGCATCGCCGAGCTCGTGCACATGATGTTTCTCAGCTATGGAGGCAAGCGCATGGACAAGCAGTTGGCTTTGGCTGACAAGTCGTTTGCTTTACAGCAGGTGCAGAAGTCGATTCAAGCCATCTGTGCGCTTGGAGTTCGGCAGAATGACCTTGAACTACGGAACATGCTGTGGGATGATGAAACACGACGAGCGATGGTGATTGACTTTGAGCGAGCAGAGACGGAGAAAGTGCGAGCAGCGCTGGGCGTTGTCTCGGGCAATGCAACAAGGAAGCACGTTGGAGGGAAGGGTGCAGATGTCACGGATGTTCTGACCTATGGTTATATATCGGGACCCATACGGGCCACCACCGGGACCTCGGAGGATAACCTCCGAGACCGAGAGTATATAGCCACCTCGAATCCCCAAGGCTGATCCCTTAAGGATTCGTCTATCTACTTACTACAATATACCCTTTTCGTCCCATATCTAGTCCCCTGTCTACAGCGACCTCACAGCAGATCACACTGAAACGACATCACGCAACTTTGTGTTACGATCAAAGGGCAACCCGCAACAACACTGAACGAACAGGACTACGCAACGATACGAGAGAAGCCGAAGAACTGTAGCATCGATCGACCCGAGCAGTGGGACCGCGTCGGCGATACTCAGTATGATCATCATTCTCAGTTGAGCAACTCAAGCGACCCGAGCAGTGAGGCCGCGTCGGCGATACTCGGCACGGTCAGTATACTCGGCACGAGCAGTATACTCAGCACGAGCAGTATACTCGACACGAGCAGTATACTCGGCACGGTCAGTATACTCGGTACGAGCAGTATACTTGGTACGATCAGTATACTCAGTACCGAGCGCTCTGAGCAATCCTCTGCTCATGTATATAGCAAGTAGACATGCTGCCCTTATGGCATCGTGTTCAACCTCGTCAATCAACTTTGTTATTGGAATCTCACTTGCTCTCGAGCCAGACAGTATACTCTGTACTACTCATTGCAACCAGTCGTCGCGGCCTCCGGCTAGACAGCTATTACCTCGACTATTACGAAGGCTACTACCGCCTTGCCAGGATAGTCTACCCCTGACCACCCAAGCCTTACTTAGGTGACTGTCAAACCCCTACGGACTCCCCGTACCTCCGCTCATCCCCGAGAACCAATCGAATAGTGTCTACGAGCTTTGCTTAAGGCACGAATCGCAACACTTTGTCAAGCTCGAGAACCTAGACCTCATGGAGTCAGGCCTCATGGAGTCAGGACCTGGTAGGCGCGGGTAACATCTCGTACATTGCACCTGAGGTTCTGTCACGGTTTGGGGTGCCCCTGCCTCCCAAACCTCACCTGCCATGAGAGTGAATCTGTCACGGTTTGGGGTGCTCCTGCCTGTTGTACCTCACCTCCATAAGAGTGACTGCCACGTCACACTAGCGTTGTTTACAGCTACTCACCTATATATACTGTTCGTAGCTTCACCCAATACAACCCCAGTACAATCTTCAAATTCTTCCCTTTGCGTACAGTTCTTCACTGAACTCTGACAGAATCTCAGTTCAATCCTCCAATTCTTTCCATATGCACACTGTCCATACTCCCCGACAAGATTTAATCAGGGCTCTCTTGATATCTTCAGAGCTGAGAGGTTGTGGCGCAATCTCTTGCCGAGCACGCTCCTTAAAATCCTCGAGATTAATAAGCCTGGCCGTTTTACACATGTTCCTGGTCAAGTCTGTGAAGGGAGAGGTGTTGCGTCTCTATTTGCACGTTGACTGTCGTGGAGAGGGCACGGAGAGCAAGCGGTAGGGCACGTACGACCGCAGGAAGGTGAGCACCAGCGGAATATCATTGTCGGCGGTCAGCGTGCCGTCAAGGCCACAGACCAGAATCCTGTCTCCAGTTTGTTATTAATGCGACGAAGAGAGAGAGGGCAAATAGATCTAGATTAAGCCTAGCCCGGTAGAAGACGTGGTTACCAAAAACAGGAAGGCGCGTAACGGCTTTCTCGAAACGGTCCCATGACAGATGACGGGTCGCCCAGGAGAACTTGTTTTCAACGTCCTATGATTGTATGTGAAAGAAATGTCTTTTTCTACAAAATATATTCTGCAATTGCTACGGCTGCAGCCAATAGGGAGAGGCAATGAACTCTGCATATTTCATCGGATATTGTCAAGGAGCATGGATAGTACGCATGTGGGAAGGACTGAAGGATTGAACTGATTATTCTACATGCTACAGAGGGGAGCTATACATAACGAAATGTCTACGTTGATGTCGTGTAGCTGTCAACATGTAGTCGTGCGACGTAGCAACCAATCAGTAGATAAGCGCTCATGCGGCCGACTGCAAGGAGACACCTCAACCGTGACAGATATTCTCTCTTAAATGACTAAAAGCCATCCAGAAGTATATATTTCTTCTTTGTATGGCCATTAGTAGCAGCACTAACTGTAAAGAACCCAAGCACTGTTTAAACTCGTCCACTTTGTCCATTACTAGCAGGTTTTAAATAACGGAGACCCTAAAACAGTACCTTGACAGACTGCAGATCAGACGGGAGAACTTGCTGTCTCCTGTGTGGTTGACACAATTGTCAATAATTTTCTTGTAAACAGCAACCTGCAGCCGGGCTGTCGGTGACAGTGGTCTGGACTTGGCATCCCAAGATCTGCAAACGGTTATTTAGTGTACATTAAGATGCTTCATTGTTGAAGGGTTGAGATGTTGATTGATCTTAAGAGCTATTGGCTAGAATCGATCGAGACTATATAGTAGAAGGGGATAGCAGTGAAGGGTTGGGGAAGCAAACCGAGCTAACCGAATGAGCTGGACAATCAGTGCAGTGGACCGTTAGCAAACACTGCAACGGACCGCTAGCAAACAGATGGAGATCGGTGGACACTCCCTCCGACAGTCATGCTTATCATGCTCGGGACGTACTGGACGAGCATAGAGAGATCTGATTGCTGCGTTAGCCGCTGGGCTTATGAAGCAATAACGCCACGCAGATGCGGGAGGCCTCAAGCCTGGCCTTCCCCTTCAGTTGCCTACCCTGCGACTAACAACGTTCTCTCCTTCTATTCTTACCTTGCCAGGACTCGTAATCTCTTCCAACCAACGAGTACTGCAGCTCTGCTACACCAAAGCCGGCTATACTTGCTGCAGGCGCAGCTGCGCCGCCTGTCAAGCTTCAAAGCCCCTCCAAATACCACCTCTCAGCTTTGTGGGCTCGAAAGTAAACCTCACACAATCCTCATTTCTCAACATGGAATTGAGGTATCCTTCTTACTAGATCTGCTTTCACGTCATTTACTGGTGTTCTTCAAATCAAGGTTTTCGTACATTTAACAATGCACAAGTACACAGCTATATTGTCACGGTTTGGGGTGCTCCTGCCTGTCGTACCTCACCTGCCATGAGATTGACTACCTTGTCACACTAGCTTTGTTTACAGCTACCCACCTATACATATCGTTCGTAGCTTCACCCAATACAACCTCAGTTCAATCCTTCAATATTTTCACACATGCGTACTGATCACTCACGATCCACCGCGACATATACAAACGGTGCAAGCTTCTGCTACTATTGTACTGAACATGTACTCTACGCTTGGCTTGTAAGCCCTAGAATTTGCGCTTCGAATTGGAGAGATTTCTAATGCTGGTAGGTGCAATTCGCACAAACGCAGACCTAGAAAACTCGACTAAGTTACAAGCTGCCCATGGCTGGTTGCACATTTGTACATTTTGCAAATCGTGCTGGGTGATCGACAGAGATGCAGCAGCAAGTTGGTGATGTGCCGCCACAGCTGCAGGGGAGCCCTGGCAACTGGGCTTTGCTTCAGACTGTCATCCAATACCACTCATGAACACTCACGTAGATTTGTTCCTGTACAAGTGTTCAAATCGCTTCCTGAAAAGTGTTGCAGCTGTGGCGTTGTATGAGGTCAATGCTCCAAATCAGTTGCACGTTTACAACACGTTGTCGGATTGGCGCGGTCGCTGTCGCTTTCGTCTGCTTATCTTGACGCATAAAATATCTGCATCTTTTTTACAGTAATGCTCTCTTCACGATTCAGAGCCGGCCATACAGACACCAGTTGAACTCCTCTAGATTGATGGGACCTGGAGTTTGCAAATCAGTTAACACTTTAACGTAGCATCTTGCAGCCCGCACAGTCATGTCGCAGTCGGATCCTTGGTCGGTGTATAATACCAGAGTACGTGCCTTGTTGCTGTTCGTCTTTGGGTTGTGTCCAAGGCTAACCTCTGTCCAGCTGGCACCCGACTGGTCTTCAGACGGCTCGGAATCGAAGGGTCGTCCTTCACCTTATGGATCCGACGTCTTTCAATCTGATAGGACTCTGGATCCCGTTGCAGAAGTGCCTGACCAAGCTATCGCCCCAGCTGAGCACTGTGATCTTCCGGCGCTGGCCTATCCTCTTACCAATGTTCCGTCACTACCGCCGATTGGTGATCATGTCAAGTGTGGTAATTGTGGTGTGGAATTCACGGGGATCTATCGACTTGATAACCTTGCGCGACATGTTCGACAAAAGCATATTCAAGGAATGACTGTTACAGATCCATGTACAGGTCATGGATGCCACCTGGTCTTCCAGCGAAAGGATGCCCGATTGAAGCATGAACGCAAAAGACATCCCGAATTGCAACATCCACCAGTACAACAGAGACAGGGTGGTTCAAGTGGATCACTCACGTCGTCTCTGCACAACAGCTGAGCTTTTCTTGACGACAACCTTGAGGCCTTTGCTGAGCCGAGGGAGTCAGTAGTACTGACTGAGCTTGAGTATGTCCTTCTGGGTTTGCGGATATGGGAAGAGTGTCCCGTGAACCAACCGGGACCACTGCCAAACTTGTTCGACGACCGCTCAAGTGGCATCAGCCACAGTCATGACCAAGACAGTGTTTTCAGCTCCGAGCACCTGTTAAGAGTGACAGCTACGGACGCTAGCAGCACTTGCAAACTACCGGGTCTGCAGCTTGTTGGATATTCTCAGTTGGAGGACTTCGGAAACGTCACACAATGCTGTCCGATCCGGGACTGCTCGCAGACAGTCTCACCACACTTTGAGCAAGAAAAGTGTGTGCCTGGACAACCGGCGCCACTTCGCATGACAATAACGCAAGCACAACCCATTGACGACGAACCTGGGTCCACTTCCACTGCTAAAAGCGATCTCCCTGCGGAAGTTCAGCTAGAAGCGCACATCCTTATGAGAGATTCACAGGTATTGCCACCCTTCGGTCAACGTTTGATTGACCGATTGAGTGCGGAGCTCGAGCCCCAGGTACATTTGCAGCTTTGGACGAGTTTTTTCAATCGTTGGGAGGGAATCCTTGAGGTGTTGAATAGTCGAAGGTTAATCTTCGCCCCAGAAAGCAGAGATCGAAACTAACAGAATTAGATCTGAATCTTACCGTTGGTTTGCTCCAGTGCTTGAGATCATTCGCCAGAATGTACAGCTACACGGTGCCGACACATCGAACTTAGCTTGCTCTAAGGGACAGAGAGCTCACACGAACAATGAACCACCACCAGGCGCGAAGCCAACAAGAAAACGCAGCAACTCTAGCGGCGTCGCTTCACGTGAACCAAAACGTGTCAGAAAAGCTGTATACTCCGCAAGAGACAACAACGACAAGGTTCAAGTCAAGCAAGCTGATGATACAACAGGCGATACGTTGGCGAGGGTAGATTGTATCATCTACAAACACCACCTCATGCATGGGACGTTGTCCGAATGTCCTTGTGCTGGTTTCAACGCCCTTGGTATATCACAGCTTCGCCATCAACACCTAAAACCCAGCCGAGCGAAAGGTCATCTTGGTCTGATACGCTTCCTTGAACGATGTAAATGTTGCAAGGAAGATGTTGTTGACGAGGAACGGTGGATAAGGCACAGAGCGATGGAGTGTGATTTCAAGACACAAAAGCAAAACGGAGGTGTTGCACAATGGGCTCGGCTCTATCTCGCACAGTATCCAGACGCGGTTCAGATACCAAATCCATGTAAACGAAGTTTGCTACGACACGATGTGCATTGGCTGACACTACACAGACGTCGGGCAGGATGTTTGGTTAACTGATGCCGAATGTGAAGAGCATAGGCAATCAGTCCTGGTCATACTCCCTCCAAGTGAGCTCGCATCGGACTCTTTTTTTTAGACCACCAGTCAGTGGCTGAAGCGGAAGCACCACCAGGACTATCGGATCTCTCAACGCAGACTCCGGCGGACGAGGGACTTGGCCGTTCTGCAGCGTGCAATATTATTTTCGCAGATATTCTGGATCCACTGAGCCTCATGAGAGATGGGACGCCTACGCTACCCCTCGATATGCCTGCTCACAGCCACAGAGACATTGTCGGCGGCACCCTGAAACTTCTGGCCGCTCTCGCCGAGGAGAGCACTCGCTCAGCCGATCCAGATTACTGTGAAGAGTTGGCTGATCAGATCGAACAACTGCTTCCCGTCATCGCCCGCTTGCGTCGGGAGGCCCAGTTTGCGCCGAAATCAATCTGTGCTACAGCAGGCCCGTCTTCTGGAATTCTCAACGAGCACTGCGACTTACCGTCTCCGAGCTCAGAGACTGCAAGCAGCAGATCGAGGTCAGTGATCCGGCCAAGCACTCAAAGATGCGGGAGTGGTTCTTCTTCAAATAAGACATCAACGCAGACCGGCTCGCTGTCCACTTTTGATATCGTGGATCGCACTAAGCCTGAGGACGAACAACGATTTCTGTTATCGGGCAAAGTTCCCGTTGTACATTCCCAAACTTGCCCGACTGGTTGTCCTCCTGTGCTGCAGAGTGAGTTAGGAGATGAAGGTCCCGACCAAGCCATTGCATTGCCGCGCGATGATCCCTTCCTCAACCTTGACGAAACAGACGTCCCTGAATTTGAAGATTTCATGCGTGAGTTGGATCAGTATTCGGACCCTGCCAAATGGTGCATGACACATGGATATGCGACAACTGGTTGCAATTGAATAAATCAAAAACTTGTGGATTAGATCGTTCAATGTATCTTTCAGAAGAGTAGATTCAATAGCTAGAGAGAGCACATCGTACGAGAGTGTCATCAAATTATCAGCACGTGAGTTCAACATACAAGTTGCAGATTCGAAAAGACAAAAACATACAACAGCGGGTATTCGCTAGTGGTCACCCACCTAACTACTAATCCGCCGGTACGTTGCTTAAATAGGGCTGAGCGAACGGGAAGCCTTGTTTTCAACGTCCTATGGTCGTATGTGGAGAATATGAGAAAAACTAAAATTAATAAACTGAGTATCGTTGTTTTGTAGCAGATGGCTAGGTAGGTCTTGCTCACCGTGCCCCAAACACCATCAATCCAGCCAGCGCAATGCCATTACCTTGACCATATGCTGAGAATCAACCGCGAACGCCAATACAGCGCCGGTATCTGTAACCCAAGGAAACAATGCGCGCTTTGAAAGTCAGGAACGCAGACGCCATTGTATGGGTGTGGAAAGCAAGTAAAGATAAATACCACCCATGTGTGCTTGCTCCGGAAACGATGCAGATGAAGCACTCGCTTCTTGTTCGTAATGTTCGTATCTCGTCGAGCGTGACGAAGTCATGATTGTGTTCAAACGCGGACGACAGCGCCTCCAGTCCAGCGGAGCCTGCGAAGACCCAGACCGGTACCTCGTACAGCTTCTTTACCACAGCTTCCACCTTCGGAGCCAACAACACCCATCTGGCCCACAGCTTCGGCATAGCCAGCTTCGTTACCGACGACATATCCTGCAGAGAAGCTAAGGGCGCTTACAAGGACGACAACGCCGGCACTGACGACCCATGTGAAGAGTGTTGGGCTAATCTCTTCAATCAGAGCACTCTGCTTGCGTGCCTTCTTAGCCGCATGACGGTCTCTGCTGCTGCTCCGGACGCCAGCAACGGCTGGGCTGGCTTTGCGTTTGGATTTGTCGGAAGGACTGCTGCTTGTGGTACGGGAAGATGAGCCGTTGTTCGTTTCCTCAGTCATATCGCCTAGGGCTACTGATTCGGGAACCATCCGAAGAGACGAGGGATCGACGCGGCTAGACGTTGCGGCCGGTGCGGCATGAGATTGACCGGGCTTAGGAAGGCCTCTGACTGCAGCTGCGGCAGACAGGAGTGTGGAGAGGCTGGCTCGGAGTGCCTCGTCATGGTCAGCTTGGTGGCCGGGTGATATGACGTTGTAGGGCGTATGTTGTGGGTATGAGTGCTGTCGCTGAGAGCCTGGCCTTGTTGCAGGCCTTCGCGGTATGTAGACCGTCCCTGACTGTGAGCGTACAATGTGTTCGGCACTTGGGTGTGAGAATGCGTTGGGTCGAGGTTGAAACTGTCGAGCGGTTGATCTTGGGTAGTTGACCGCGGTCGCATTCTCGTCGTCGTCTTCATCCTCTTCCTCCCTCTCTGACATGGTGTCAGAAGAGGTAACAGAATGTGGCCCGCGATAGATGTGGTGCACTTCCTGCCTCAGAGGAGAAGGTCCGATATGCTCGTTCGAGGACGTCATCACCCTGTCCGATTCGCTCTCGCTCTCATCGTACTCCTCTTGACTACTGTTACCTCCACCAGCGCTCGTTACAAGATGACCAGTGCCTATCTGGAAGTGGCCGCCGCGTGGACGTCTGTTTCTTCTATACAAGTTCGAGTCATGTTGGACTGTGAGGCCTGTCGTGATGATTTCGTCGGCAGCAGAGGATAGTGAGGACGAGGACAGTCTCGAGCTGATGTCGATCCAGGACTCTGGAGGCATGATGTTAGCTTGTGAAGAGCATATATCTTGAACTGGACAGTACTCGAGGTGTTGATTAAGGAGCACGTCGAAGGGGACGATTGCTGTAGAGCAGGTAACGCACCTTCTGAATGCTGTCTTGCCGGTGATGATCGTGTGTAGGAGGGAGCCATGCCTTGGTTACGTGGATATGTCTCTTCGGAAGGTACAGTCTGCCGAGCTGATCGTGGCGGGCGGTGATCGTGCATTATAGTCTTCACAAAATGGTCTGATACTCAGCTACAAACGACTGCTCTTGCGAGATCGATGCCCTAAGCTGCCTCACTGTTTCACACCGTACGTAGGCGTGTGGTGGAGAGATATGCGCGCAGGTGGATCTACCAAGACCAGTTCCGATCTCGGTTCTTTGACTCCAGGTGCGTTGTCTGCGAGAGCCGAGAAGAGGAACGACGTGTCGCGGAGGGACAGCAGAGTGCTAGAACCTCAAAGACAGCACACGACCCAACGCCGTTTGCCGCAGAATGCGCGTGGGCTGCAGCTGCACTTGGAATACCAGATCAAGACCGCGGTCTGACGCTACGCCACAAGCTGGCTCGATGATCCGGCACGCAGTGACGTCTAGCGGGGGTGTGCTTTGGTGGGGCACCGGGGTTGGACAGATCGGGGTTGAAGGAAAGGGGGAGAACAACAAAGAGAAAGGATGAGAGTAGAAGTGGAAGTTCAAGGGAAAGATTATGACCTTCGTTCCTAACCCCGTGTGCTGGCCAGCCTCTTTGGCAGGGTCACGTAGACAAATAGCGGTGGATGTTCTCATGAACGAATCACGTTACACTTCCGCACACCTTCTGCTTGAAGCCTAGCTGTTTCTGGTGCTCACCTGGCCTGGGTACAAGACACAGCTGCGCAACTTCCGGTCTTCTGCCTTGCATAGTACAATCTTGAGATGATGCTGCGCACCCTTCATCGCTCTTCGCTACCGTAGCTCTGGCGAACAAACGTTTGCCCGGATCCCATGCGTGTTCCATGGTGGGGTGTTCGCGAGCCGCACTCAACACGTCATTGTAGTTTGTATGAGAACATTAGAAGTTGCATGTTGGTCTGACATGTGTGTTCCTATATTGGCAGGTGTTTCATTGTGGCGCAGCTCTCCATCTCCAAACATACTGATCGCCAGAGCTCTCCTGTATCCACAAGGCGGGCCACAAAACGAAACAACTGAACGCCACTATTATGCGAGTATGGTTGCGACTCATCGATAGATGCTCTCAACTGACAGCACACAAAGGAAAGCAGAAGTGAGATCGAGGAGACCTCGTTCAAGGGGAAAGTGGTAGGAAAGATGCAGCTCTAATGCCAGGACAATTTCGTAGGCGTTCGTTAAAGTAAAGTTGTAAAGATGGAAGCAACAGGGCTCCAGAGAAAGCGAACAAGCTCAGCCATCTTCCAGTCTGGCTGATATATGGTACAAAATACGGCGAACTGTGTTGCAAGGGTGCAAACTACGAAGTTGGTAGAGGGTTGCATATATGGATGGCGGCTTAAACTGGTCGATGTTGGTGGGACCTGCAGGTTACGTGGATGATATCGGCGACACCTCAACACTTAGTTTTTCTTCTCTTCTTTCTTCTTCTTCTTCTTCTCCTCCTTCTTCGCCGTCTTCTTAAAGAAGTCGCTGATCCCATCCTTGAACTTTTCCCAAGGGTTTCGGTTCAGGCGGTTGCTGAGCTGGCGGTAGTTGTACATCTCAGCCCAACAATCGCGACCCCACTCACAGCCAGCCATGTTAACTAGAAAGTCGCGATCCTTTTCTTGATAGTGGATGTTGACATCGTCGCCAGCATCGCCGCAGGCGCCGGGTGGGAAGCTGTTGATCTTGCGTTGCTGAAGAAAAGCGACATGTGGTCGGATCCAGGGCTGGTTCTGGTACATGTATTCGAAAGCATCCTGCTCTTTGTGCTCCCATTCCATGTGTTTCTGCTCGTAGCCAACGGGATCCCACCAGATGTCCAGCAGCCGGTCTGTCCAGACACTCCTTCGCAACATGAAGGAGCCCAGGTTGAAGCCGCCACAGTCCTGAGGAATAAGCATGTTGATGGACTCTACTCGGCCGTCACCGACAGGCGAGCGAGTTTCGGCGTCCAAGTGTTCATCGGTCAGGGGGTGTGAGATGTTGAGAGGGTTGTAGACGTTGATGTCGCGGTACGTGATGTCTTGTAGGTTTTTGAAGATGTGCTTCTGGAGGGAGTAGGACGGTTCCATAATAAAGGTGTTGGTGTCGAGCCACCAGAACCTGCCATTATCAGTCATTGTAGCTTTACATCGTGTAGGCGTACATACCATTCAGCCTGGGGGTATTTCCGCATGGCGTTGCGAATGGTGTCCACTTTCTCCCAACTTTCTCTCCATTCGTGAGCATAGCGTTTCTTCGTGCTCATATCCACAATCTCAAGGTCGTAACCCCACTTCTTTGTGTACTTCTTCTTGTTCTTGACGCTATCGCGCTCGATCGCCCATTCGCGAGGGCCTTTCCATTCCATGACACCTCCACCCTGGTTCGCCGCGAGAATGATAACGTATTTGTTGCCGCCACCGAAAAGTGCAGATCGTCTGTACATTCGATGCAAAGCTGCTGTTGTCAGTCACGATCTTTGTACAGGAACTTTCAATGCTTACGTGTGGCGTAAAACACAACAATGCTAAGGATAATGAGCAGGACTACTCCGAGTGACCGCCTCAGGCGCCAGAGATTCCAGCCGACACGGTTCAACATCTGCGAGAATTTGTGGCCCTGGTACCGCCCACGGCCAAGCTTCTCCTTGTCGCCATAGCTTATGGGCAAGCTGGTGGATATTCTGCGAAAATGTTTCGAGAAGAAGCCCTGGTTTCTGGGAGTGAAACCCGGGTATCCCTTCACTTCAGCGCTTCTCGCCTGGGCTGAAGCCCAAGTAACATTATGTGACGAGCCATTCGCCCCACCTGAATCGTAGGGGGTGTTCAAGCCAGGACTTGACCAGCCTCCAGGTTTGGGTGAAGGTGATCTTGACATGTCGACAGCTGGTGTGCCGGGGATTGTGGGCAGGGCGTCGCCCAGTGAGCCGCCCGAGATACCGCTTGTTGTCCCTAACCTGTTGGGTAGACCAAGGTTGAGGTTTGGTGGTTGTGTTTTGGCGGCGGATGAGCGCCGTCGGCGTTGGCCAGCGTTACTGGAGAAGGATTGAGAAGCCAGCGTGACTTTATCGGGATTGTAAAGTGGGCAGAATGCACAGGGACCGATCGCGCGTGGCTTCTGGCAGCAGTGCTGTCAGGTTGTAATCAATGCTTAACGATAAGCAATGCGCGGCAGAAGGCAAGGCGCGTTAATCGCGATGAGGACAGCTGGCTGCGACTTGAAGCTTTTCGGTCGGCAAGGCGAGGCGGTCGCACCTTCAGCGGGAAGGTTCAAGGGAGCGAGATCTGCGGTGCAACGTCAAAAGACAGTTCTCCTCGCGGGCAATTGGCAGGCAGAGGCACAGGAGCACAGTACAGCTGCATGCAAAGAGGGAACGCCTGCAGTCGAAAAGGAGCTCTACGATAGATAAAATTACCGTCTAGATGTTAAGCTTGGCGAGTTTCTAATCATTAGGAGTCCCTGACTAGCACCCTCGCTCCACCCGCGCATACCTGCCCTTTGTGGCATCATCATCAGCGTAGCCAACTTTGCAATCTCGAAATGGATAACCGTTCAGGGCGAAGAAGCTGAGGAAGTGGGCTTGCGGCCATGAGAGCTAAGAGGCGTTGCAGTAGCTGCTCGTGTTGCTTACCTGCAGCTGCTCTCCATGCCCTCACATGTGAACATGATCGATGGGTTAGCAAACAAGGAGCCGTCGATGGTCTTCAGAAGTTGCTGTACGTCCATCCCCTGGGATACGTCCAACGGGCTCTAGGTCACCTCACCATACCTCGCTCGCACTTGTGCATCCTCGATGTCAATGCACTATAGGTCGTGTGGCAGCCAAAGATACAGACCGACCAGCGGTCTGTCCATCGTGCATCCGTCGCCCTTAAGAAGAGCCCTGCCCTCTTGCATGCTGTCCAGGGTTTCTTTAACTTTGCCATCATGAGCAACGTTGAAGTAATGCCATGGGCACGTCCTCCTTAAACAACATCTGCTCTCTCGCTTTTAGTGATAGGTGGTGTGGCTTGTTCGAGTCCTGACTTGAACGTGGATTGTCTCAGGCACAGCCGGGGTCGCTCGACAAACGCATGGCAAGTTGTCTTGAGGGCTTTTCGTGGCAAGCACACGACCTGGATGTATCGGAACTGCATGTCGCAGACAGAAAGTCGATGGCTTGAAAGGGTTACACGCTTGAGCGGGGCGCCATCCAACCGTTGGCGGCTCTGCGATGGTAGGCGCTTAAAGCTGCTTCGTTCTCGCACCTCACTGGCTCCCCCCTCATTTGGCCTGCCACAGCGTCCAGCTCCGCCTCTGGGGCGTCTCAGATTGTAGTACATTTCCAGGTCCAGCGAATCTTCAGCGGTTATTGAGCCTCACGTCTAGAAGATGGCGCCGTCGCAAGACCGATTTGGATGGCTCCATCCAATCACATCCACTCTCTGCTCACTGTCGACTGTTGCTGGGACGAACTGGAGCTCGTTCAAGCCTGCGTACCTGGCGCATCTGACGAATTAGAAGACGAGACAGTAGACTGTGTAAGGACACTACTGACATACGGTTGGGTAGCCTGCACGCTCAATGTAATTCAAGAAGACCCGGGGGCCTGGAGGTCGTGTGTCTATATGCGAACGCCCTTTTCGTTCTTCTGTCTTTCCTGTCTCGTTGCCTTCATACCGTCGCTACTTGTCTTCACCTTCACCTTACCAGCCAACGCGACCGGTGCTTCTGCTTCCTATTGTCTCTATTGTTCTATTTCCAAGACTTCACAGCAGGCTTGTTTCGTAATTACATTGCACGACGACTTTACGCCCCACTCCTGAATCCTCCACCTACCTTCGTTTAGCCACCCACAACTACCTACTTCAATCGATATGAACACAACAAATTTCGGTGTACAGCCATCGACACAGTCATTGGGGCGGACAACAAGACCTACAGATTTCGATTTCGACTCTTCCACACAACGCAACGACCGCGACGATCAAATACTGATACATCTGAATGGCCATTTCGATGGGACCATCGCTCTACCTAAGACAACTCGAGGGAGAGAAGCATGGGATAGTGATTCCCACACATCTGCCCGAAGGGCTGCCAGCAAGCGGAATTCTAGGTCGTTCACATCACGTGTGTCTCGGCAGAAGAGTAGGAGACGGGAACTTCTGGGACGACAAGCAAAATTAGACACAAGCTTCACTAGACACAAGGGCGATACACCGCACCAGGTGTTTCCTGAGCATGAGGCGCATGGCAACGGACTGGCAAGAAAACAAAGCTGGTTCAGTGTCGGGCGTTCATCTACCAAATTCAAAGGGCTGGGGATCACGAAAGGCACCCCTCAGCCAGAGTTCTCACATCGGAGACTTCCAAGCATTGACCATGAGCCTAAGACTGCGGACTCACTGGCTCCAGCTCCAGGCACTGGAACGTGGAACGAGATCTCCCCGTGGGACCGACCTATACCCATTGGCATCACTGTCCCCACAGACAGTGTTTCTGATTTCAGTCCATATCAAGGAACACGCCAGCGATCAGGAAGTGACATCACCTTGGCCACACCTAGCATCATCATCACGCCTGCCATGCCAATGCAATCAGTCTGGTCGCCGGATACACCGTACACTGAATCAGACTACACGCCAAGTGTATATTCCCGTAACACGTTCAACTTTCATACCATGGACCATAACGTACCTCCCGTACCTGCTCTTCCTCTGGGGATAGTCGGATCTTCAGGCGCACTCACGAACATTAAGCCCGCCCCGGATTCGCCAACGCACAACAGGAATGACACACTTGACTCCAATGGAACGGCGTTCGAGGAGTACGACGATGACGCGCAACGAAAGAACCGCGTCATGTCAAGCGACACCTTTTTCGAAGAGGATGAGGCACCTTTGCGTGAGAGGACGGTTGAGACATCTCTAGTGGTTGATACATCGCTCTTACCGACACCAAGACGTTCACAGGGTTGGTGGAACGTCATCACAACGCCGTTTGTCGCAACGCCGTTAACCGGAACGTGGCCCAAGGACGACCAAAACATTCCGAGAACACCTGACGTGCCAAGTTTGCCAGCTCAGTACAGTCAGAATAAAGGAGCGCCTGCATCGTTGCCTGCTGATAGCTGGACGGCAGTGGAGACGTCTTACGCAGACCGCACTTTGCCTTCTAAAGGGATGTTACCTGTAGTTGTATCTGCGCCAGCGAGCGAGAACGCAACATCACGACACGCCTCTCCTATGACGGCGGCGAGTGAGATTTCAGCAGACATAACTCATACCATTGTAGCGCAGAACGGAAGCCAACAAACAGCAGCAACGCCCGACCGCAGTGTGACCTCGCCGCTATCAGCAATGTCTGCAACCCCTGTCGTCAGCACAGCAGCTATGGCGACAGTCCTGATGCCACGTCAGATAGAAGAAGCACCCCGACCGATCAACATCAACATCGAGCTGCAAGATCGGCGGCCGGATGTCAATGTCCAGCTATTGAACGCCAACTCGCAGCCAGCGATGCAACAGAGCCACACATCCTGGCCAGCACCACGGTTGCAGGGCGTAGGATCATACGCTTCTAGGTCCAACAGCCCTTCTTCAAATCTGCCTACGTTCGCACCACCGCCAACGTTTGCTCAGAAAAGCTCTCATTTCAGCTATGACAATGGAAGCCGAGCAAGTTCACCAGCTTCTACACCGGACCTGAAGCGAGAAAAGAAGCATCGAAAGGTGTTCGACATGAAGACTTTGCTGCTATGTCTGAAGCGAAAGCAGCAAGAGAAGCCGGACGAGAAGAAAAAGAAGAAACGGGGCTGCTTCTTCTGGTGCTGTGGGTGCTGCCTAATCTTGGTTGTTCTGCTTGCGATTCTCATTCCCATCATCGTTGTCTTTTCGAGAAAAAAGGACGATACAACCCAGATCACACCCATCGCAACTCAGCCAGGTGGTGAGTCGACTTCATCAACTCCCGAGTGGCTGACCTTGACGAACCTTCCTCCTATACCTACCGGTGTCTTAACTATTGCTCAACCTGAGGCGGCGGCGGAGGAGAGTGGATGCGTTGCACCTACTACTCTGTGGAGCTGCGCACTTCCCAAGGAGCTGCAAGACTCAGTGAAGCCCAACAAGCCAGATCAACCGAACTTCAAGATCGAGATCACGTTCGACAACAGTAGCTCATCGACGCCTCCGAAGACACAGACTACGAAACGAGCTGCGAACGCAGTCTCAGTTCGCGCTTTCATTCGAGAACGCTTTTTGAACGCCCGCTCAGTACCTTCGCCATCTCCTGCGCCTCCAAGTAGTGACGATATGGTGTTTCTGGGAAAGACGACAGATGGGAATAGCGCTCCTTTTGATGGCGAAGATACACCCTTGTTCATCTCCTTCCAGGATCCAAAAGCTACTGCATCTCGTCTCGCCAAGCGTGCAAGCAGTGATCCTACGAACATCACTGCAACCATCCCGGCACCAATGGTCAACTCAGATGGCACTGCCGCGCCGGCAAATCTGCTTCCTTTGCCTTCCACGCAGCCACTCCGGTTGTACAACCGTGGCAAGGACGACGAGCACTATGGCTTTTACACGTACTATGACCGATCGATCTTCTTGAAGCAAATTAATGGAACGAATCGCGGTGGCAATCCCGCGGATACGGATGGCGGTAGCACGGAAGAGGCTGCAACGCTCCGATGCACCTTCTCCGAGACGCGTTTCCTGGTTCAGATTTGGACGCGCAGTCAGTCGAACAGGCCACTCCTGCAGAGCTCCACACAAAGCGGCTCAAGCGACCTGAAGCGACCAGGGACCTTCCCGTACCCAGTCACAGTCACTATTGACCGGCACGGTGGTAACGCTGCAAAGAAGAACCTCTACTGCTACCAGATGGAGAACGATGGCACCATCAAGAATGACGCCTCGAAGCGCTCATTCCAATTCGAAGATCGCGCATTTGGAGGCAATCTCGTAAATGGCACGCAGGGCCGCCCCAATGTATCAGGACCCATTGATGGAGGGTCCGGAGGATGCTCATGCAAGTATCAAAACTGGCTGGACTGAGGCGTCCAGCTTCAAATTTTCGTTGTCTGTATATCGTACCTTGCATCTGGTGGAGTTCTGCATAGCGTTTGATCTACGGCTGCCAATTGGCGGCCGGCAGTCTGTCACCGCGTGGCATTGCTTGTCGTTGCTTAGTCGTGCCATGTCAGTGAACGCGCATGGCTTGATCCTAATCGCGTAGCTTAATGAGAACCGCTGAATGGATCCCTGTAAAATAGGATTACATAGAGCACATACCTAATATCAACATCAAACGTACCGCATGATCGCAGTCTATTGCTGTTCCAGGGAGTGAAGCCATGAACACCAAGCAGACACCATACCGCTCAATCATAGTCAACCCCTTGAATAAACCGAGACAGTCACTGAACTTGAATGGAGCAAAACATAGCTGCTGAAGCTTTGGACTGCGAAAGCGTAACGGGCTTGCGGCTCTCACGGCTTGTTCCGACCACCTCCACTACCCAATATCAGACCCTTCTCCAACGACCCACCTCCTTATTCCCGCCTCCGCTGCTGGCCCTGGGGTTCGTCGAGAACACCTGCGCCGGGAAAGATGTGGAGTCTTCTGGTTCCTCCATTTGAAGATGTTGGTGTGCTTCACTCTGCTGTGAAGGCCTCCAAAGCTAGTCTTCACGTGCCTACAATCTCGATATGAACTATCTTTCTGCAACAGCGATCTCCGTGCAGTGTCAGATTCACACGAGACATGCGGCGCGATGTCACTTTACAGCGTTTCGGGGGTGCGTGTTGAGGGTAACGATGATGTGGTCCGCAAATCCATGGAATCAGGCGAGGATCGATGCAGCTTGGACCAGGATGCGGCTCCTTGGCCAGACTTGGCTGGACCTCCACAGCGAGAGAACTCACCACGTTTCCGAGATCGCATTCTCATTGGCCAATCTCAGTCTCATGCTTTCGAAGAGCTTTCGTTGCCTCCCACGCCAACGACGTTGCGGCTGCGGCAACTGCATGCAGGCCTAGCTCTTGTGCCGAGCAGCGGATTTCCCGCCACGCTCTGCGAAGCTTTCGGCTTAGACGTGCTTGCCTCAGCTGGGCGTAACCTTGGCCATCGAAGTCTGACGTCGAAGACTTCTTGAAGAACTGTGAGAACTCGATTATGGGGAAGCAGGGCTGCAGAGGCAGCTCAAGCACGCTTAAACTGGCAGGTGGGGAACTTCTGAGCCAGGCGTATCCAGTTGCACTAATTTCATTCTGCCAGGACGCAGACCGCTGCCCAAAGCGGCCATATTGATGGGGCACGCGAGCAGTTGCCGTGTTGGCCGCGCCGGGGTTACTTGAACTTTCGATTCGAAAGCGCCCGCGGGAAGAGACCGTGGGGACAGTAGAAATTTTCAGAGCCTGGTACTCGTATATAAGCTATCGAGGTATCTTTCTGCCACTCTTCAGCCTCCTCGCATTGAGCAATCGCACCTATTGTGCATTTGCGTCTTCGTCATTCTTGCCGGGTCCTATCTCGTGGCCCTCCACCGACTCCTCATTGCTCGAGTTTCAGCATCCAGGTGCATCCACGCTGCACTCTGATATCAATACTCGAGATTCGTTGTCGGTTATCTGCACTATTACACGCAGGGTCTCTCGCTTCGACGAACCAGCGGAACTCCCGGCTCTTTTCCCAGCATCTGCCATCGGACACCGCGGATATAGCAGCCAGTCATATTCAATCGCGAACAACGTGCTGCATCGCAACATTGTACTTGGGATAACATCTGAAGTACTCTGTGCCACAGGCCTCATCGGTGATATTTGAGGGTTCCATCAGAATCAACGTCATCGGCAACACTAGGCTCGGTCCACTACCAAGGAATTAGCTGAAAGCTTCGACGCCCTGAACAAGTCCATTTTCTTGAGCATATAAGGACAATTGAGGACCCTGATACCAGACTATAAACCTTGATCTGCATCTTAGCCACAGCACAAACAAATCAGCGTTCGCACAGCAGCTGCTAAAAGCCACCATGGCTACCAGACGCAGCGAGGAAAACTCGATCCGCGACTACGGGGTCGCTGCACCTCACGGGCCGAACATGACTGGCCACCACGTTGCTACACAGGACGTTGACATCCGTGCCGACATGACCTCCAACGAGGCGGATGTTTTCCATGCTCTTCTTCACCCGGACGATCTTTACGATGCAAATGGCACTTACTGGGCTGACATGCCTCTTGGTCAGCGCGTCAAGTTTGTGACTAACGTCGACAAGGAAGAAGCTAAGAGGGAATTTGGTGAACTCTGGCAGATGTTCAAGAAAGATCCTCTCAGCCCTGTCAGCGCATACTTCAGGAACTACGTGATTCCTGGTGCTGGTCTTGGTCTCGAAGGGTAAGCTTTCCTCTCTGGGCTTTCTGAATCTTCGTACTAACATGCATAGTTACGTCCTCTTCTCCATTGGTAACGTCAGGCCTCTTCTGCAAGCTTCTTTCCCCAGGTGTTGGAAAACATTCGATATCTGCAACGAAATCTGGACGCAAGCTATCGACTACCTTGAGATTTGCGGTATTATTGTTGGTCAAATCCTCGTTGGTGTCATCGGTGACTGGTTGGGCCGTCGCCACGGTCTCATCCAGGATGCTATCATCATGTTCGTTGGTCTTCTTATGCTTACCGCCGCCTGGGGTGTCACTCAGAACGGCTGGGTCATCTGCTACGTTTGGTCTCTCTTCTTCTACGGTATCGGTGTCGGTGGCGAGTATCCCATGACTGCGACTGCAGGTATGGAGAACGCTGTTGGATCCGGTAAGGTTTCGACAAAGGAGGATCGTCTGCACCGTGGTCGCAAGGTCACTGGTGCCTTCTTGATGCAGGGTTGGGGCCAGTTCTTCAACCAGGTCATTTTGATCGTTTTGCTCCTGATCTTCCACTCTGGATCCGCACCTCCCTACTCGAAGAAGGTCACTCAATGGACGTACCGCGTCTCGTTCGCCATCCCCGCTGTCGGTACTCTTTGGCTCGTCTACTTCCGTTACTTCAAGATGAAATCAGCATCCAAGCAGCTTCAGCTCGCTAAGAAGAAGGCACACGTTACCGGTTACGACGTTGCTTCTCTGAAGCTGACCTTCAGCTACTTCGGACCCCGCCTAGTTGCTACCGCCGGTACCTGGTTTGCCAACGATGTATTTTTCTACGGCAACAAGCTCTTCCAATCTGAGTTCATCAAGGTCATCACTCCCGGTAACAACTCGGTCATGGTCGGTTGGCTCTACAATTTGATCAACGTTGGTGTTTCTCTGTGCGGATACTACCTTGCCTCCTTGATGATTGACAACAAGCTGTACGGACGTAAGTGGATGATGATCATCGGTTTCATGGCCGACTTCATCCTCTTCATCATCCCTGCCTTCCACTTCGAGTACTTCACGCGCCCCGAGCACGTCCACGCTTTCCAGGCCATGTACTTCCTGTCCTCGTTCTTCAACCAGTTCGGACCCAACTCTGTCTCTTTCCTGGTTGCCGCCGAGGTGTTTCCCACACCCGTCCGTGCCACTGCCCACGGTTTCTCGGCTGCTGCCGGTAAGGCTGGAGCTCTGCTCGCCTCCATTCTGTACAACTATATTGACACCCAGACCAAATTCTACTTCGTTCCCTGGTTTGGTCTTGTCGGTGCTCTCCTGACTTGGGTCTTCCTGCCCGACACAACCGGTCTCGACCTCAAGGAGCAGGAGCGCCGATGGGCATGCATTCGTGCCGGTCGCGAGCACGACTACCACGGTATCGCCATCCACTGGAAGCACCTTTCTTGGTGGGAGCGCATGCGCGGCCAGCACAAGGGCTACGATGCCAAGTTGGACTACGAGGAGAAGATCAAGGAGATGCGCGCCGAATGGGTTGAGCGCCAGCAGCACAACTTCTCCGAGAAGAAGGGCTGGGAAGAGGCCGAGCACGATGACCACTTCGGCGCTGAGATCCACAACTACTTCAGGCGTACGACTAATGGAAACGGTCAGATTTCCTCTGGCCTGTTGCAGCCTGGGATTTCGGAGAAGAGAGCTGATGGCAGCGAGTCTGGTACTAGCGACGAGATTACGAGAGAGAAGTAGAATGCTCTGCTTGTAAGGTTTTTGCATATTTAGGAGTACTAGGAAAAGACACCACCACATCACTAGATTAATAAGATCATTTCAATCCAACGCACCGTCTTCCACTTACCTGTGACTTGGATGAGATGGTTGTTCGCATCAAAAACATTTCCCGAGAGTTTCGGTGGTTAAAGCAGGGTCTCAGGAGGTCAGACTCAACGCGCATTCGTCAACCTCCAACAATCGGCGGCGCCGCAAACCGACCCTATCGGGGACCAGCAGGCGCAAACACTGTTTCCCAACGGTTCACAGCAGCATCTAGGCCGAGACACAGCATGTTTCAGACAGCGGCCAGACACGCTGCGAGCCGGCCATAGACAATCGTCATGACAACAGGAAACCCGCACAGCACGAAAGTCATGGTAGTCCATCTGACGCTTGACATCGGCTCGGTACGGCGGGGCGCTGGGGTACGGTGGTGCTATTGATGGGGGTGTTTGTGCGATTTTGTGTGATGGTGGCACGACACAAATGCAAAGGCTAAAGAGGTTGGGATAATATATTGGTATGCAAGCGGTCGCAGAAAAAGTTTTTGCTGCGCACATGTTGTCAATTGCCTATCTGCATTCCAGCAAGGGAGCGATCATCGTTGTTGGTGGAGAGACGTTTGGAAAAGAGGCTGGTAAGTCGGTGACGCGTGTGCGCCATGAAACAAAGTCTGGTTAAATACCAGCAGACGGTTCAATTGGCGACCATTGGTGTTGAGCCGACTATGAATAGCACTGCAGACAGGCAGTCCCGAGGGCTGGTGGCTCTGCATGCGCAACTGCATTTGTTGGAGGGTGGCGGCACATTGAGCTCCCCAGTGAGCTGTCGATCGCCCAGCAATCTTGGGTGGCTCATCGTGCACTGGCCCGTAATTGGCGTGCCTGGCGGCCCGCGTAGAGCCAGCGGGAGACGTTGGCGTGAAGCGAGACCGCCGTCAACGCATTGTTCAAACCTCCAGACTTGCTGTACCACGGGCAAATGTTGCTGCTGAGTCTAGCGCTGCAAGTCATTGTGACACGACGAGTGCGCTGGAGGAGCCGACGCGGCGCTTCACCATGGTTGGAGGCTGGCGGCAGAGCTGCTAACAGGCTTTGCATGGCTTCGATGTGTTCAATAACGACTTTTTCTAGGGATAGCGCCGCCGTTCCTTGGCCAGATGGTGGTCGCTTCCCTGTCTTTACAAGGTGGGACGTGCGTGCATTCGCTGGGGCGGGAAGGGAGGCAGTGAAACAAGCTGAGCAGCCGCGCAGCTGCTGTCAATAAATAGAGTGCATTCCTCTCACCTTACCTGCTCTTTCTTCTCCTCACCCAGTCCATCACTTCAATCCTCCGCTTCAGCGAATTAATCAGCCCAACCGCTTCACTCGCTCAAGTCGACCGGTGTCATCTCTATCACACTCCAACCAACCAACACACTTCAAACCGCCAACATGCGTTTCGCTATCTCCGTTGTTGTCTTGGCTGCTGCCGTCGCCGCCCAGATTCAGCCCATCTCCCAGATCAGTGACGGTCAGATCCAGGCTCCTCCTGCCACTTCTACCGCTCCTGCTGCCTCCTCCGCCCCAGCGGTCTCCAACCCTGCTGTTGATACATCGGCTCCTGCCGTCTCCACCGCTGATGGTAAGTTGGACTACTTCGTTGAATCACCAAGTCCCTTTAATTAACAACGCCCCAGTCGTTCCTTCTTCGGCGCCCGCTATTGCCAGCTCCGTCCCCGCGGTTGCCAGCTCCGTCCCTGTTGCTGCCAGCTCTGTCCCCGTTGTTGCCAGCTCCGTCCCCGTTGTTGCCAGCTCCGTCCCCGTTGTTGCCAGCTCCGTCCCCGTTGTTGTACCTAGCCTGGTCACCTCAGTCGCCCCTCCTGCTGGTAACACCAGTGTTCCTGTTGCTAGCTCTGCTAAGCCCTCCAACGGCTCCGCCACCGGCACCGGTTCTGGCCCTGCTTCCACTGCCTCATCTGGCGGTGCTAGCGGTACCTCCTCTGCCAGCGTTCCTGAGTCCACTGGCGCCGCTGCTGCCAACATGGTCTCCATCGGTGGCCTTGCCCTCGCCGTTGGTGCTGCCTTCCTCGCATAAATGGATGACACCATCGACGCGACACCTTTTCCATTCTCATGATACAGCGGCATGTAACTTGCTAGCGCTTTGTTGGCGCTCCATCGCCCTTTAACGACCACACTCTTCGACACATCTACTTCAACAGCTTGCTGCATGGTAGGCTATACTCGAAAAGCTGGAGCATTGATTGCATGGTGGATAATAATTGGCTTCAGCTTTACATGGATTGGGGGTAATGACTACATGTATCCGCTAATGCGCTCACGCCCACGGATGACATAGAGGTCGTGTATAGATAGTCTTGAACAAATACAGACTTCGCACCATGAGGTGCTTCAATCATTGGTTTCATCTGCATGTTCATGATCTGATTCGCCGTCACTGAACATGCTTTGCATGAAGAGTTTCAAAACTGTCATTTGTTTACGAACATGCCAGCTTCTATCTGACACTGTCAGGCTCCAGATGAACACACAGCTACTCACAGTTTTCACTATTCAAAATTATAATTCCAATTCACACCATGCAGCTCCAAGGTTTTCTCCAGCTCAGCTGCAGTCCCCCCAACGTTCGCCACGACAACGCGCTACGGGAAGCCCGCATGCGGCTTGCATTAGCCAACCGAGCAAAACAGGACCGCGCGTTATAACTGCCGCTAGAAAACAAGCTGCTCATAGCCGCACAATTGGTGGCTTGCGAGCCGTGTTTCAACATTTATCGAAGAGCCCTCTGGACAATGAAAGTAAAGCCGAAACGCCATCGAGATGGGCGTTAGCAGTTGAGCTGTGTGGTGACGAGGAGGAGATGGGATGGGGAGCCGACACAGTCACCGCATGCTTTACACGACGCATCGGTTGAGCATTATTGAGTGAAATTGCCATGGCCTTGATATTGTGCTTGGCCTGGTGGCTGACAGTGGTCGATGACTTGGATAGGGACTGTGCCCGACTGGCTGGAACTGGGTACACTTGCTCGACGAGCTGAACACCTTTGGATGTGGCTAAGACTCGTCTAGATCCACCGTCGGAAAATTTTGGCTCGCTTGTATGCTGTGCGACGCAACTGTGCATGTCGTCTACGCTATGTACATGTAAGAATGAAAACCAAACTCGCGTGTGCTTGGTGGCCGTCAGGCGTTACTTCGTTGTCCTCTTGATACCTTGCCACCATCGTGTGTCAGCGATTGCACTGCATCTGCCATGTTGAAATGGCGCGATTCTTGTACTACTCATGTTGCTGTGCCCTGTAGTGAAGACTATGCAAGCTCTAGCTCAATCAACGAATCTAAACTATGCGGGTGTCTCCAAATCCCCATGATTTTCAACCCAGCGCCCTCGTACAACGCCGCATGCTCGGCCACAGTGCGATGTCGTGCCCCCAGACTCGCCATGAGCTCCCAGTCCAGCGCCGTCTGACTCCAGTGCGCGCCCTGATTGGGCACGACGAAGTCGTTGATCAGGATTTTTGAGTAGCCGGGTTTCATGGCGGGGACGATGGAGGAAAGGATTTGCGTGTTGATGGAGTCGGACCAGTCTTGGACGATAGAGTGCAGGAAGTATGCTCGTGCCCCTGTGGGGGTGTTAGTGAGGAGTGGGTGAGTGCGGAAGGGTGAGGTACCTTTGATGGGTTGGGGGGTGAGGAAGTCGTGTGCCATTTTCTCATCAACGGAGGAGACTTGTGCGTGTGAGATGATCTCGGGGCGGTCTTGCAGTACCAATCTCCCTGGAATCTTGTCTCCGAACGCTGCCCTCAAGCCCTTGACATCATGCCCTGGAAGACGTCAGTATGGTCGCAAACGTGTTCAGGACGGCCGTGCATACCAGTCCCACCCCCAACATCCACCAGAAACACCCCCTCCTCCTCCCCATTCTCCGTCTTCGCCTCAGCACCTGCAATCAACCGCTCCCCGACAGGATAATAATCCGCGTCAAACCACCTCTGCCGCCCCATACTCCACACATCCATCATGCTGGCAAATCTTCGCCCCATTTCCTGGTCGAACTTGTCAAAGTACTCAAAATAGTGCACTCCCTTCTTGAACGCATGCTGAAATGGCGCATCGATGCTGCTCGTCGGCGCCTGAAACCCATTGGCACGGAAGAAACTTGGCCCCGCGTCAAGCGCCGGCTGGAAGTTATCCACGATGTAGAGGATAGTATCCTGATAGTTTGGCGCTGCGTAGGCGAGAGATTTCGACGTGGGAGCGAAGGTGTCCGGGCCGGTTTCGAGGATCGTGGACATTGCGGCAAGGTGGCGGAGCATGCGGGCTACGAGAACAGTATCAGCCTTCCCTTCTGGAACACATCGCGCTGCGATAGAAGCGCTGCTCTCGCCGGTTGGAGGCGTGGAGGACATGGCTTGGAATAGTTTGATCTCTACAGCCATGCGTATCACGGCCAGGTGGGTGGGTTGCGCCCAGAGGAGTTGCAGCGCATTCTCGGTAGGGTGCTGGAGTTCAGCTATCAGTCGTGAGGCCGCAGACATCAACCCCTCTCTCGCGCCTTGCTCTCCGTTCCTCAGTCCATCTCCCAGGCCATTGATTTCGCTGAGGATGTCGAGAGCAGTCTGACTCGGTGGTGGTGGAGTAGTCGTCATCTTTCCTTTCTACTCTTGACCCCGTGTCTATATCGATTCAGGCAATCCCTTGCTCTTTCTGTTGGAGAATGGATTTGCAATTCAAGCCTCAGGAGTCAGGAACCTACGCGAACCGCGACGTTGCGAGATCATTAATGTGGGGCGGTGGCCTCGTGGCGGGCCTTCCCAGGATCGGGTCACTAAACTGTATGCGCGCAAGTGTGTTGCGGGTGCATTGGATGTTCGTCAGCGAAGGATTGGCAGGGCCTGACAGGAGCCGCGGAAATAATCTTCGAAAAGCTTCTGCCACTCATTGCAACACTGGGTTCGTTCTGCGCCGCAAAGATGCAGGTGCAGAATGTTGGCGGTGCAGCTGTGGCCACTGCCTCGGGCGCGGATTCTGGAGGAGATTCCGGAGTGGACGATGATTATGATCAAGAGAATGACGCGCATCACGTTATCCAGCCACAAACCGATACAGAGGAAGCGTCGACTGACACCGACGAAGGGTATATTGAAATCATCAAAGTGACATAGCTTTGAGCTTACGATAGTCCAGATATGCAGATTCCGATGCATCCTCATTCCTCTCATCAATCCTATCAGAAGTCCGACGCGGCATCGAAATCGAAGGCCGCCTATACCCCTCCTACGGCAAACATGACTACGGCATGCCCATTGACGAGAAAGAGATGGATCGAAACGACCTACAGCACCACAAATACCATCTCCTCCTCAAAGATCGACTCTTCGTCGCGCCCATCCCAGACGACCAGCTAAACACAGGAAACAGCCGGATCCTCGATCTCGGCACGGGGACGGGGATCTGGGCCATGGATATGGCCGACAAATACCCGTCCGCTCAGATTGTTGGAGTGGATATAGCTGCGACGCAACCACCGTTTGTGCCGCCAAACTGTACTTTTGAGATTGAAGATGTAGAGGAAGATTGGCCATATAGGAACGCACACTTCGATTTCATCCACGGCCGCGACCTGATGACCGCCGTGCGCGACTGGCCCCGCCTGCTCGCGCAAGCGTACACGTGCCTCAAGCCGGGGGGCTGGATCCAACTCTGCAGCACAATCCCCGGCGCCTTATCCGACGACGCCAGCATCCCGGCCAACAGCGGCTATGTCGAGTCCGGACGCCTATACTTTGAGATCGCGGAGAAGATGGGCGCGCCGCTCGACGCCCCCAGGAACTGGGCAACTCAAATGCACGCCGCAGGGTTCACGAACGTGCAGGATGAAGTGCACAAGCTGCCCATGGGACCCTGGCCGCGGAGCAAGCGGCTCAGGACGGTCGGCAGGATGGAGCAGATTATGATTTTGGATGGCGGGTTCGAGGCGTATATGTTAAGGGGGTACACGCAGGTGCTTGGAGGCAGGCCGGAGGATTTGCAGGCTACGCTTACGCATGCGAAGAGGGAGGTCAGAGACCCAAGTATTCATACGTATGTGCAGTACTGGATAACGTATGCGATGAAGCCGTTTGAGAAGTAGAGTGGTACGAGACTGCTGCTTTGGGCACGGAGTCGGTGGCGCTGGGTAGACGGGGAATCTTTTGCTTTGCTGGAAACACTATGTAGGTAATGTCTATCTTGCTTCTATGACTTGTTGGAGCAGCTGGCCTATTGGGTTCAGGCCTTCTTCGGCGGTGAAGATGCGCTTGGGTATCTCAAATTCGACTTCTGGGTCTTTCTTCAGGTCTCTGTCCAATTCGGTGTCGAGGAGCTAGATGTGTTAGTGGGCAAACCAGAAGAACGAACTCCAATAACTTACAGCTGTGTATGAATGGTCCAGGAAGTCTTCTAGATTGTAGGAGCGTTTTGTGAACTGCTCAGAGATGATCTTCGCCAGGGTTGCAACATTGGGGTGGTAATGCGATTGCAGTGCTTCGAGCTCCCAGACGCTGCTCTCGATGGCGTTCGTTTCCATCGGATCCAGCTCGCTCATGTCAAAGGGATCGTCCATGCCCTCCTTCTCGAGCTTCTCCTTCAGCGCCGGGTCACGAACTTCACGATGCATCATGAACGTGCAGGCCGGGTGACGCTTGAACATGTTGTAAACCCAAGGAACGACGATAACAACACCCGCAGGCGGGCCATGCAGCGCTAAGCGTGAGAGACGCTTTATAAAGCTGGCGACGAGCGCAGCTGGCAGATGCGTCGAGGACATGAACGTATCCAGCAGTCTGAAGAAGCGTGATCGGTGCTTTGAATGCAGCAAGCCTTCGTCCAGCAGAGAGTAAAGCTTGAGGTAGAAGGAAGGGTAGTCGAGGTTCTTCTCCGAAATGAGGTAGTACAGTCCAGACAGAGCAAGTAGCGAAGTCGCACCACCGACGTCGTAGGAGTCGGTCAGAAAGTCCATGAGCATCTCCGGTTGCTGGAACCACGGCGCAATCTGGTACGAGAAGGTAGTCAGGATAGCCTTGCGCTGCTCCTTATCGAGTCCGGCGCGCATTGTGGCCAGCCACGCCTCTTGTGCCTGAACCTTGTACACTTGTAGTGTCGGCCGTGAGCTCTTCGACTGCGACTCTGTGTGGTAGTGCTTGATATCGTCTTTCGATTGCGGTACGGTGTCGAGCGACAAGAGCAGTGACAAGCTGTTCGAGGCTGCGAGCTGCCTCTCGGAGTCGTTGAGGTCGGTGCCGAGTAGGTTCTTGATGGTCTTGAAAGTGTGAAAGCGCACGTCGTCGAACTGCACGAAGTACTTTTCCGCAAATTCTTCGCGATTCGGGTCATGCGCTGGAAGGAGCAGCAGCGCCTCGATGAGCCGCGAGAGAGGGCCGTTTTTGAGATTGTAGTCCTTGGTCGCCTTGGACTCTTCCTTCACCAGGCGCATGAGCAGCGTCAGAGCCACCGACTGCTTCGCTGGGTTGTCGCAGCGCAAGAAGCTCTGCAGGAGTGTGTCCAGGAACTCGCGGTACCGCTCCTTCAGCCATGCCACGACGGTCGCCTCGGCCTCTCCCATTCCCTTGCTCCTGACCATGTCGCCGGCCGCAAGTAGGCGCGAGAAGACTCGGCAGAGGGCGACAGCAGCGAGGACGGGCGCGTCATCTTCCGACTTCTTCGAGAGCTGCAAGAGGGTCGCGATGTTGTTGTAGTGTCGTCGCGACTCGAGGATCTGCGCTTCGAGCTGTAGAATTTCCGCCTGGACGTCGTCGCCATGTTCGCTGCTGGGCGACTTCTGGCGCTTCTTCGACTTGGCTTCGCGGCGCTCGGCTTTGGCGGGGTCCCTCTTCCTCTTGACGCCAGAGGCAGCGACAGCCTTGAGCGCAGGCATCTTCTCCACCTCTTGTTACAATCTGTAGTGGCGTGGTGGCGTGGTGGTGTGGTGGTGGTGGTGTAGTGGCGCGGTGGTGTCGTGGGGTTGTTCTGCTTCTCCCCCCAAAAAAGTAAGTAAGAGTTCCTCCCAGGGCCGCCCGAAATCGCTAGCGTCGGCCGCTTGGCACAGAAGAACCGCATCCCGAAGAAGCTTGCAGTTGAACCTCACCACCTCGACCCTCCCCACTCTTCATCCGCAGCAATGGCTTCTCGTCTCGCAAGGAGCGCGGTCGGTAGGTGCCCGCGGGCTGATGCGACATTGATGCCATTGGCCCCGTACGAGACTCGCAGAGACACATAATAACACAGCACAGGCGCCGCCCGTCTCCGCCCTACCCTCCCTCTCCGCACCGTCCCATCGCTCGCGGCGCAGGCCCGCTTCCAGTCCTCGCAGGAGGACCCCAAGAAGAAGGCCCAGAGCATCATGGAGGCCATCCCCGTCCCCGGCAACAGCCCGCTCACTAAGGCCGCCGTCCTCTCCGCCGGCGCTGGTCTGTCCGTCGCCGCCATCAGCAACGAGCTCTACGTCGTCAACGAGGAGTCCATTGTCGCCCTGTCGCTGCTCACCATCTTCTGGGCTGTCGGCAAGTACGCCGGCCCTGCCTGGTCCGACTACGCCCAGCAGCAGGTCGACAAGATCTCCGGCATCCTGAACAGCGCCCGCGCCGACCACACCAAGGCCGTCCAGCAGCGCATCGAGAGCGTCAAGGACCTCGGCGGCGTCATCGACATCACCAAGACCCTCTTCGAGGTTTCCAAGGTACGACAGTCAGAGGATGATGGGGTGGGATGGAACACAATGGGGGGAGGTGGTGCTAGTAGTTGCAGGGCTAACACTGCGTAGGAGACCGCCAAGCTCGAGGCTCAGGCTTTCGAGCTCGAGCAGAAGACGGCCATCGCGCACGAGGCCAAGAACGTCCTCGACTCGTGGGTCCGCTACGAGGGCCAGGTCAAGCAGAGGCAGCAGCGCGAGCTCGCCGAGTCCATCATCGCCAAGATCGAGAAGGAGCTCGAGAGCCCCAAGACCCTCAAGTCGATCCTCGACCAGTCCGTTGCTGACGTTGAGCGTGCGTGCATGCAGTCCTTGGACAATGGCTAGTGCTAACGAGCTGCAGGTATCGTCTCCCAGAAGGCATAAGCGTCCTACATTAGACAATTTCATGTTACATAAATCTGTGCAATAGTCAACCCGGTTCAATAAGACTACCCTAGGCTTGGAGAACAGCCGAATCGATTTGTTTTCTCGTCACACAGGGACTACGCTGTCGATACATGTATCATGCACGTGCAGTATTGGGTGCAGCTAAGATTGCGTTCGGCTATCCTGCGGCTAAGATTGTGTTCGGCTGTCCTACAGCTTCGACTCACTCTTCTCCAACAACCCCGTAATCGTCCTCGCCCACATCTCCGCTGCCTCAGGATCAATAGCATTCATATCATAGCTCACTCCAAACCCCACCCTCCCCTGCGCATCCGTCGAACTCCCAACCAAGAACTCTCCCTCCCTCGCTCTCACACCCATCCTCAGTCCCCTATAATCCACCACAAAATCCTTCCTCTCCTCCTTCAGATCATACTCTCCCGGCCGAAAATAGCCCTTCACACTCCCCACGCTACTAACCCCACACGTCGCGCCCATCCCACTACTAGCCTTCAGCTCGCCCTGCGGATTCCCGAAGCTGAGTTGTCTGTGAGGAGGCCGTTTGGACTCGACGCGCTCGAGCTGCGCCAGATAGCCTGTTGCGAGTAACCGGCTGGGCGAGTGCTTGTCCAGCCCAGCGCTGACCTCGCCTTTGCCTGTGGTCTTGAGGCGCTTCTGGTAGACTCGCAACTCACGATTCGCTATCTTCGCAGTCAGCCTGAAGCGTTTCTCGATGGGCAGACCAGCAGGTAAGAAGGGCATGACGATGCCGTCGCTGAAGGCTAGCATACAGCTCTCCGCAGCCGGGGGGTTCGCAAAGAATGCCCGCGGATTCAGGGGGAAGGACGCTGTCATGGCGGGAATGTCGGATGGGTTGAGATGGGGATAGCGCAAGGAGTGGATGTCCATCATCGCCAGTCCCGCGAGCGCAAAACACCCCGCTCCAATACTTGTCTTCGCGTCGCGGCACAGCGCAATAAGGTGTGCGGACGCAGCAGGCGAGAGCGTCGCAGCGATGTGGCCCGTGGACATGGGCGGCACATTCTCGCCCTCGTAGTCGAAGACTGTGGCGTACGTCCTGTCCAACGGCAGCGGTTTCGCAAGGCGAGTCGCGCGGTACAAGGGGTTTGTGAAGGTTGGTGGGAGCGTGTGCTTCACATGCCGTAAGACGCGGATGATGGCCCATATCCAGCGCTGGCGCGCTTTGTTCCCCATGATTGGGGGGTAGAGATCTTCCTGCGCTGGGGGCAGTCTCTCCTTCAGCACGTTGAGTTGCAAGGAGGTGGCGATTTCGGCTTCGATGGCAAGCACAGGCAGGTTCAAGAGCCGCATGAAGTCCTTGAACCACCCGTACGCGCTCAGCCCGTCGGAGATCTGGTGCGCCATGACGATGAGAAAGGACAGTTCAAACGTCTCGCTCGGGAGGCGGCGGAGAGGCAGGACGTGGAGTTTCGACATGCACTTCTGGGGCTCAATAATCCGTCCGACGTTCAGAGCGTGGTCGTGGAGATTGTGCGGGTCGACGAAGGAGTAGTGGTCTTCTACCCACACAGTGCTTTGTTCGACGTCTTGCACCGCTTCTGAAAGAGTCCTATGGACGTCGATGGCGAAGTGTCGAAGACTGGACTCGGGGTCGTCAAAGTGCCGGCTCAGTAGCAGAACGTGTCTGAGGCGCAGAGCAGTCCATGCCAATGCGATTCTGTGGCGGAGGTCCGATTTGGAAAGAGAGTGCTGGAGTTCGCATGTCAAGGTCAAGGTCATGTCTGCTCGGCCGCCATAGTAGGCACCATCCATGTCGAAGGATGTTTCGACGAGACCTAGTGGTCGTTTGAAGGTTGTTTGGCCACTCTGGTTTATTGAAGAGGTCCAAGTATGGTATCCTGTTGCGTAGCGGTCAAGCCAGTGTGCCTTCTCTTTCTGTGGCGAGGCCATGTCTGCTCAATCAATTGATGCAAAACAATAAAATCAAAAGACGTCCTCAATCCAATCCTCGTAAAAGGAACTTCAGAATGCAACAGATCGAGGATAGAACAAGATGAGACATCTTGATGTTGAACCGATGACGGGGATGGATTACAGACACTAGGCTCGTCAAGGTAATGTTGCTCGAGTCGTGTGTTTTGACAGGCGCTAGCGGGACGTCTTGCCTCGGCGTACAGTTCATGCGGAGTTTGTCATCCAGAAAACGAGGGATGACATGGCTGTACAGTACATACAATTGCAGTGTCCACTTGTCATGCTTCAGTTCACCAGCAGCACAGTGATTGACGGTGATAATTGTTTGGTGTTATTGATGGGTATATGAAGAGCGATCCAAACGCCCCGTCTAGTTATCATACATGCAATGCCGCCGCCCCGATAGAGACGTGAGAGACGCCTGACGATAGTGCTTTTTGGTAACAACCGCACCCTCACTTAGACTTGTTGCGCAGCGAAAACAATAAAAACGTTCTCAGAAATCGTGGCGGTTCCTAAACCACATCTTCCATTTCCTCGTCCTCTGAATCGTCTCCTCCAACATCTGGTGCCAACGCTGACTGTTGGTTGCTGAGAGTCCTGCCGACGTTGAAGTGCTGCTGTCGCTGCCAATGGCTGGCAAAGGAACCGGACTTGACAAGATGCGCCAACTCTGGCAGAACCTCTTTGAGAAATTGCTCTGGCTGCTTTGTCCGTGCCTTGAGCGCTTTCATCGACCAGTACTCGTACTCGTCGAACAGGTTGTGCAGCAGATCCAACAACTCGCGGTGAGAGATACGCGCGGCCTTGTTCTGCTGTGGCTTTGTCCTTGTCGTGGGTTTGATGAACGATGTGAACTTGCTCTGGACATTGTTGTAGTTGGCAACGCCAGGATCCTTGATGATGACCGTCTCCATGTGCGAACCTTGAACGGCCTGCTTGATGCGCTGCTGCTCGAAGTCCTTGTACTCTTTCGTGGGCAATGGGTTTGCCTGGTACTGGCGAGTTGCATGACCGATGAGAGCGGTCTGCTTTGGAATCGCCTTCCTGTACTTTCCGCGCTTCTGTATGCGCGCCTTGGGGTCTTGTGTGCCGTAGCTTCCTGGTCCGCCTCGGTGGCCCTGACCAAATCCGTTAGGCTTGTAGCCCGGGAGGTCCTTCTCGGTGAAGACGTATGTGTTCCCAAGCACTGTGTCCGAAGTTTGTGTAGGCTGCAGCTCGAAAGCTGTGGGCAACTTTGACTTGGCGCGCCATCGATCGTTGAAGAAGAGTCGCATCGGCCTGTTCTTGTCGATACCTGACGTGGTGTTGAAACCGAGGACCTCGCCGATCTGGATCTGGTCGTTGTCGTTGCCTTCAGCCAGGTCGTCCCACTTGGACACGGCATCGTAAAGCCATTCAGGAATGCGCGTTAACCAGACGTTACTCTTGGTGTCTGGCTGTGGCATCGTCATCTCCCCGGTGTCCTCGAAGAACTCATCATCCATGTACTGAATCGGCGTCCCCGCGTCCGGATCCTGCTTTATCCCGTTCATCTTTGCGGCAAGAGAGGGTACGGTCTGGGGACCAGCTGGCGCCTGCTGCGCGGTGTCGTAATACGTCGTCAGCTTGGCTTGCTACGGTGAGTGTGGTGTTGCGCGATGTTTGTGGCAGCGTTTGGTAGCGAGCAGAGAAGCTGGCACAGCTTGAGTGTGAGTGTAGTTGGGCGAGTAAGGATGCAAGTGAAACAACGCTGGAAGAGAAGCACAAGAGCCGCATTCACGGATCGCTGCGCTAGCGCGACTGCCTTGCCAAGTGAGCAGGTCATAGCTCCACCCCACCCCACCCCCACATGGATGTTGCCTTGCACTTGCCGTTACCATTGTTGACTGTAAAGCATCATCTTCTGCAAGACTGCTCACAGGCTGCGGTCTTCCGCCAGTCTACTCGGCCTCACCAGCACACAAACTCAAGCTCAAGCTCAACATCGCCACAGACTTTCAACAGGCGGAGCTGTTTGCTCACTCCCGCGGACATGGCTTCACCAGCAGTTGCCTCTGCGCTCCAGGAGGTGCAGTCCGCCTCGACTGGCACCAAGCCCTCGCTGTACACATCCACTCTCCGGCAAATCACCGCCTCCACAGAGAACCTCGCCGAGAATCTCAATGCCTATGCCCGCACACTCCTCGACGACTCGATAGGGATAGTCCAACTACGACCGCTCCTTGCCGCCTTCGTGGACGCCTTCCGCACTGTGAAGGATCCGGACGTCAAGATTGAGGTCGGCGAGAAGGTGGTCTCGCTGCTGCAGTCGAAGGGCGCTGGACAGTATGAAGAGCAGGACACTTCAATCAAGGAGGCGCTGGCCGACGCATATGAGGCGATCGAGGACTACAGAAAGTCAGCGCAGATACTAGCGTCGATCAACCTGGAGTCAACCCAGAAGTCGATCACAGCGGACGACAAGGCAAGAGTGTGGGTTCGGATCGTGCGGTGCTACCTGGAAGAGGATGATCCAACAAGCGCCTTCTCGCACCTGAACAAGGTCAAGAACATCATCTTCAATGTCCAAGACAAGGAGACGCGGATGCACTTCCAGCTCAGCCAGGCTCGCATCCACGACGCCCAACGGTCCTTTCTGGACGCTGCTGCAGCATACTACGCCATGAGCCAGGAGTCCATGGTGGACGAGGACGATCGTGTGGCAGCGTTGGGAGCTGCCATCATCTGCACAGTCCTGGCACCAGCTGGCCCACAACGCGGAAAGATGTTGGCCAAGCTGTACAAGGACGAGCGGGCAAGCTCGCTTGACGACTACCCCATCCTTGAGAAGATCTTCCTCGACCGTCTTCTCTCGCCTGCAGAGATCAAGGCGTTTGCTACCAAGCTGGCGCCACATCAGCTCGCCAAGACTGCCGACGGATCGACTGTCCTTGACAAGGCTGTTCTTGAGCACAACTTGCTTGGCGCATCGAAGCTGTACAACAACATTGGATTCGACCAACTGGGAGAGCTGTTGGGCATCGACGCTGAGAAGGCAGAAGACTACGCGGCGAAGATGCTGGAACAGGGTCGTCTCTCTGGGCACATCGATCAGATTGATCGGCTGATCTTCTTCGAGGGCGAGGCCAGCGGCGAGCGGAAGACCGGGCATGCGGAGCGTGTCGTAGGCAAGGAGCTGAGGAAGTGGGACGCGAACGTGATGGGCCTTGCTGAAGAGGTGGAGAAGGTGACGACGATGATCCAGAACCAGTACCCCGAGTTCTACGCTTCGCAGGCTGTGGCTTGAGGGAGGAAGAAGTGTGAGCGAGCAAGAACTCAGCAACACGATCGCGCTGAACAGGCGTCGACACAAGCCGAGCAGAGATGGGATCAGCCAGGGCAGCAGCACACCGCCGCCTTTCTAGTCCTCGAGGAAGAAGCAAGACGGTAGAGGATGCCTGGCGACTAGCGATGCCTTGTGCTTTACGCACGACATCCATGAGATAAGAGGAAACGAAGACATGATCAAACCAGTCCGAGCCCCTCTCATGCAGTGACTCTGATGTCAAACATTGTTGTACACGGTGCTATGCTCCGACCAGGTGTGCCCAAGATATCTACACATATGATACACCCAAATGCCGTGAACTCCATCTTTTATCCCAACACGACCTCATGCCTCAGTAGCCTGTCCCTCCCCCTCCCCCTCCCCCTTCAAAACCTCCTCATACTCCTGCAGACTCTTCACCTCCAACTCACTAATCTTCAGCACGGTAAACCGCATCTTACTATACACATGCTTCGTATGCCTCTGCCTACGCTTCGTCTTCTCCTCGACACGCATCGGCTCGGTGTCGATGCCGACGACTCTCGCGCGCACGGTAAACAACCGCTCGTCGAGATAGAAGACCTTCTTGCCGTGGTCTGCAGTGCCCTTGATGGGCTCAGGGGCCTTGAGTGTGTAGTCGCGCGATCCAATGTGCGTTGCGCGGTTGAGCCGCAGCACGTCGCCGGGCTTGACGTGCGGCATGAGGAACGGCAGGCGCAGAGTGTCGCCTCTTGTGAGCAGGTACGGGCGTCCGTGGATGTGCAGGGTCATGTAGTGCGAGGGCTGCGAGTGCAGGAGGGGGAGGAGGTTCCGTATCGAGGGGGTGATTTGCTTGGAGACGACATCGAGCCGGGCATTGGGGCTTGATGGAGTGGAAGGCGTGGGCGCCCTGGGCGAGAGCGTGCGCGATGCCGTCTTGTCCTTCAGGTCTGAGGAGACGCGTTGGCCGGACTGGATCAGTGGGTCTGGGACGTTGCCGGTCTCGAGGGTGTGCGACTGCGTTGTGATGTGTGCGCGGAGGGGGAGGAGGCATGTCGGTGGAAGGCTTGCGCGGGTCTCGAGGAGCGCCTTTCGCGCTGTGCGGGCGAGGAGAGCCATGGGGGATGTGCGAGCAAGGGCTGCGTCCTGTCAGTTGTCGCTGCTGCGGCCGCTGCTCCTGCTGCTGCTGCTGCTGCTGCTGCTGCTGCTGCTCGGGGTGGATTTCTTGGGCGGAGGTCGGAGTTTCGCGCCAAGACCGATGGCTAGCGTTCTCGAAATTGTTCGCCGCCCCAACTTTCTGCGCGAGGGTTCCATCTCCACACTCCAGCAACCAACACCTCACAACCCGCCGCCATGCCTCAGAACGAGTACATCGAGCGCTGGACGAAGCAGTACGTCCCATCCGCCGTCTCAAAAACCCCTCAATCCACACCACCTCCCCCTCTCCCTCCTCCCCCTCCTCCCCCTCCTCCCCCTCCAAGCCCATCCTAACCCCTCCAGGCACGGCAAGCGCCTCGACCACGACGAGCGCAAGCGCAAGAGGATAGCGCGTGAAGGCCACGATGGCTCGAAGAAGGCACAAAACTACCGCGGTCTGCGCGCCAAGCTCTACGCCGAGAAGCGCCGCAAAGAAAAGATCCAGATGAAGAAGACGATCCGCGCACACGAGGAACGCAACGTCAAGACGTCCGAGCCCGCCGAGCCGTCGACCGAAGCGCTACCGCAGTACCTGCTCGACCGCAGCAACGAGAAGAACGCCAAGGCCCTCTCCTCCGCAATCAAGCAAAAGCGCAATGAGAAAGCAGCCCGCTTCAGCGTGCCCCTGCCCAAGGTCAAGGGCATCAGCGAGGAGGAGATGTTTTCGGTGATAAAGACCGGTAAAAAGACTGCAAAGAAGAGCTGGAAGCGCATGATCACAAAGCCGACATTCGTCGGTCCGGGCTTCACGCGTAGGCCGGTCAAGTACGAGCGCTTTATTCGCCCGATGGGTCTGCGCTACAAGAAAGCGAATATTACGCACCCGGAGCTCAGTGTTACGGTGCAGCTGCCGATTATTTCGGTCAAGAAGAACCCCCAGAACCCGTTGTATACGCAGCTTGGCGTCCTGACAAAGGGTACGATCATTGAGGTGAATGTGTCGGAGCTGGGTCTGGTTACTGCGGGTGGTAAGGTTGTGTGGGGTCGGTATGCTCGTAAGTCTTCCAAACCAGCCAAGCAGCGACTCCAGTCGATACTAACTAACTGTGTTACAGAGGTGACAAACAACCCCGAGAACGACGGCTGTCTGAACGCTGTTTTGCTCGTCTAGACGCGTACGAAGAGTTGATGTGTAGCATTTCACGGCGTTGTGTGTTGGGCTTGAGTTCAGACATGGCGTTCAAGGGCCCATCGATCAGGGTACATCGGTTTGCGAGGCAGGACTAAAAGTTGGCTGATGATGCAGTGTCTTGCGGCGCCCGCGTGTGAGCAAGGAGCGCGCAAGGAAAGAAGATTAAGATTATAGATACCACAATAAACTGACTGAACATCAAGTGCCTCGAGGTGCGGTATTCGCATATCGCCATTTGTCTATCAAGTTCTGCCTTATCCATCAAACCGAGTTTGGCAACTCACCAGTTCACGTTCTTCTGCCAGTCTTCAGCTCCATCGTCCCACCCAGCGACCTTCTCCGCGCTCTTCGCTTTGCTCTCCGCACTCTTCGCTTTGCTCTTCTCACTCTTCGCCTTCGCCTTCCCCTGCTCCGACGGATTCCTCGAATGATCCTTCACCCACTTCTCCGTCAGATCCTTAGCCACGCTCTCCGTACACTGGCTCACCTCATCCCCACCCCCATCTTTCCCACCCTCCTTCTCCTCCAGCTTGCTCTGCAACGCCATCATCTTCTTGATCAACTCTTCCTGCGGCAACGCCTTCAAGTCCTCTTTCCCCACAACCTTGGGCGCTGTCCCGCTCTTACTCAGACAATCACTTCCAAACATACCCCTCAGCATACTCCGACTGCGATACTTGAACCGGAACACCGCATACGGCTTATCCAAACCATCAAGATACTCTGGTCGACTGACCGCATGGCCGTACTCTGTTCCAGGGCCGGCGAGAACCTGATGCTGGATTCCCTTTTCGTCGGCGGCGGATTTGGGGATCTTGTAGAGCGGCTCGGATGGTACGCTTGGAAGGAGTCTTGTTCGGCCTGACTTCTCGCTTGCTTGGTCTGAGGTTGCGGGGCGGAGTGTCCTTTTCGAGGACGGTGGGGGGAATTGCCAGTGGGCTTTTGGTGCGAGGGATGGGGACGAGAGTTGGCGGTACTTGGACAGAGACTTGGAGGTGTGTCGCTTGGAAATCGAAGACGACTTAGCTTTCTCGGTGGCCTTGTCGTCGGCTACCGGTGCTGCTGGTGCTGCCCAGCTGTTACCGGCGTCGGCGCTGAAAGGAACGTCTTTGGTAGTATCTTGCGGCTGGTCCCATGCGGTGTCTGTGTCCTGCGCGGCACCCCAAGCGTTGTTGGCGTCCCATCCCTCGAAGCCATCGGTGTCGTTCTGCTCGTCTTTTGAGTTGTCGTTCTTGTTGTCTGTATTCCAGCCATCAACCGCTGCGATTTTCGTATCGGTCTGGCCCCAGTTATCGTTGTTGTTGTTGTTGTTGTTCGTGTTCCAGCCGTCGGCTGCTGCGTCTTTTGTGTCGTTTGAGATGCCCCATCCACTGTCACCCTTCTCATCATTGTTCCAGCTACCATCATTCTGCTCAGCAGCATCGCTATCTCCCCAGCCCTTTGTTTGGTCGTTATTCCAGTCAGTCGTCTTGTTACCAACATTTCCCCAGGCGCTCTGAGCCTTTTCAGAGTTCTTGTCGTCGCCCCAAGTGAACTGCTGCGGCAAGCTTTTTCTGTCCTCCTCCTTCGATGCAACCTTGCCTGTGATTCCCCACGATGACGAGCCGCTGGACTGTCGGCTCTCGTGACGGTCTGCGCCGATTGTACTGAATGGAGCAGGAGGCAGGTAAGTCGTAGCGGCACTATTCTTATGCCCTTTTTCAGAGGCACAACCCCATGTCGGTGGCGGTGCTATGATCGACGCAGCAGGCTGAGTATAAGCACTTGGCTTTCGAGATCGAACGTCCGCTGGGTAGTGCGAAATGGGAGCGGACATCAGAGTAGATGCGTTCGTCACCAACACGGAAGGAGGGCGGGCATGGTGCACGCTTTCAGGATGCCACTGTGGGTTTTCGACAAGCTGTGATAGCTTTCGCTCGTGGCCATTCCGGCTACGCTCTCGTCCGGAGCTTCGTCGAGCAGATTTGCTCCTGGGTGGCTGTACTTGGCTGCGAGAATGCGAGGGCTTAAGCGTAGAGTCTGACCGCTCAAGAGACGTGGTGGAGTCCGAAGGTGCTTCGATACGAGTCCAGCCGTCGTTGTCTTCCGAGGATGACTTGGTCTCATCTACCCAGTGAGAATGAGATCTGGATCGAGACTCGTGAGAGCGGTCATGTCTTGAATGTCGGCGATCAGAGACGCGACCCGAATTGTGAGATGCCCGCCGAGGAGGAGAAGGGGTGCGAACAGTGCGGCTTCTGGACCTTGATCTTCGTCGAACTTCCTCCCAGTCATCAGGCGGTTTCTTTGACCAAGTCTCTTCTGTGCCCCAGGAGTCTGCAGGATTGTCGCCTGGTGAGCTCCATCCGTCAGCTCTGGACTGCTTGTCCCAACCGGGCTCCTCATCCCAAGCGATCCGTGTTTCTGCTCTGCTTCGAGTTGGACGGCGCTTCGGGGCATCTGGATGCCGTTCCCCAGTCGAGTCATGGTCATGGCGGTCGTGGTCACGGTCGTAGCGCCCAGAAGGTGTCCATCTCTGTGAACGATGTTTCGATGCATGAGTTGGAGATGCTGGCCACGCTCCAGGGACTTGACTGGAGTCTTCCACGTCATGTTCGGATCGTCGACTGCCCATTCGACTTCCATCAGGCTTGTCCTTCTTTCTCGACTCTTCCACACCGCGCTTTACGGCATCTGCAACAATCTTCCCGAGTATATCATGGTCAATTGTGGGAGCACCTCTTGACAAGCTGCTTGGCGCGACCTCGTCCATAAGCTCCTTGTGGGTTTCTGCCCTTGATCGTGGCGGAAGTGGTCCGCTGCCGTACTGAAATGCTGGAGCTGGAATGTCACGTTGAGGACGCATGCCTGGACTGACAGGCTCAGAGTATCGAGAGTATGCTCTTTTCGAGTGTTCACGGCTGCGCATCGTCTCAGCATAAGGCGAGCGGTAAGAAGGTACTGCTGGTGGCGGGCCGTGTTTGTTGCTAGCGGTACTGACAAACGGGTCGCGGTCATCGTAGGCTGTCGTTCGAGATCGGCTATCGCGATCGAAGTGGTAGTCAGGATAATCGGTTGCGCCGTCCAGGTTCATATTCGCAGTGGTTTTGACGTTGCGCGGTCCAGCGCAGCGCAGGACCACGACTTCGATGCAGCCGATGTTCTCAAGGATATTCGGTGAACAAGAGTCGGGTGCACCATCTGCTGATGCTACACATGATCAATGTCATCACAACGACGTGCAGGAGGCTAGCCTTACCATGATCAAGCTTCTCGAATGTCCACTCTCGCGCAATCATTGAACCATCTTTCTGTCTCTCTTCCTTCTGTCTAACCTTGAAGTCAACGAGCGAGCGACGGTCTGGAGGCCTTCGGAGCTTCATGTTTTGCCTGTTGCGGTTGCACTGGTAGATACCGTCAATGAACACATACATGGCAATACCTGGTGCGATGAAGTTCTTAGACGAGAGGTGCACTGTGAACGTCTGCTGCTTCTTGGGCACAGGGACGAAGGTCTCGACGCAGGCATCTCCGTACACAGTCCCAAGCTCTTGCAACGGCTCTTGGTCGTCCGAGAGCTCGATTGAGCAGTTCAGGTCTTTGAGCAAAGGCATCGTGGATTGTTGCGCTGTCGCGAGCTTGAGTACCAAGGCCAGTAGATTCAAAAGTCTCGTGTTTGAGTGTAAGGCGGCAGTGCGGGAAACAAGTAGTCAGTTGCCCGGGTAACACAAGGCAAAAGTGAAAGGTGAAGGTAATGGTAGCTGAAAAGAAGACAGCGTACTGGGTGATTCAGATGTGCTCGATCAGTCAAGCATTGCTCAGCAACTGGGATGTTGCTTGCGGTGTCTTGCGAGGAGGTGAAGGTGGGCTAAGTTATACAGCACTGACCTGGAAGCTGAAGCCGGCATCGCCTCTATGGCCGAACGCCTAGCATTCACATACCAGCAATCTCCTGACGCTGACACTGTATGTGACCCCCTGGACACTCTGCCTCGAAATGTATATGCAGGATCATGTAGCGTCTTGATTATCCTGGCTGTACGTGTTTAGGATTGTGTGGGCATATGTTGTTTTCCACGTGAAGGGGGGGGGGGGGGGGGGGGCTGCTGCGTTTGTAAGGCCATGTGAATGAAGTCCGGTATCGTGCCTTGCATCGTTCGTGGAAGAAGTAGAAGGATGTGAATTACCAACGAGAGAGAATACACGCAGAGCCTTGATGAACTATCGCAGGAAGTGGCTACCTCCAGGGAAGTGATTTCTGGCCACAACTACAGGGAAGCCATGAACCACGTGTATGAAAGCAAGTAAAGAACATGAGATTGTAGCTCTTCCAAGTTGGGAGCTTAGTAACCTGGGGAATATATAGAATACTAAATCACGCGCCATGCCGTTTGTAATAGTCAATGTGACCGAAGCGTATACAACCGACGAAGGTCGGAGATCCATGTATGTGTATGCAGCATTGGAGGTGTTCGCACGCACATCCAGAGTGCCCGCAGCTGTATGCAGGCGCAACCTGCGTGAGGCAGCCCAACCGACAACTTGCAGTAAAAGTCTTGCTAGACTCTTCTGCAGTGTTGTTTCAACTCAAGAATCCATTTTCATGGTACCACAGAGTGAACAGGTCCACCACTCATTCTCCATGAATGTACCACACTGTAAACAATTCCAGCCAATTCTGCCCTTCGCTGGCTCGAAAGGAGTCGTACCTGGCCCTCTCAGTCCGGACTGCGGTGGCGGTGCTGGCAAACTGGGAGCTGTGTGTGAAGGGCCGAAACGTTTGTGCTGTGGAATCGGCTGAGGCGGTTGCTCCAGGCCACACACACCACACTGCAAGAATTCGAGGGGATTGTGAAGTGTGCATTGCGGACATGCCCACTCATTGGGGTTGGTAGGCACGCGTGGCGAGGTAGGAGGTGGCGTGGGCGGAAGTTGTTTGTTACGACGGTCTTGCTCGTCTTGTATAATCAGACGCGACTGTGGTCGGTTCGTGCGTGATGATGAGGATGCTCGAGGTGTATCCGTAACGAGGCGAGAGACAGGGCGCCCTTGTATAGGATTGGATGTTGTACGCGGAGGTACTGGGCGTTGTGATGTGCCTGATGCTGGGATTGAGGACAAGCCATGCTCTCTGCTCCAGCTCAGTCCTGATGATGCACTTGGTGCTGGTGACGCTGTTCGCGATGGTGGGTTGCTATCGAACTGTAGCCCGTTCTGTCGATCCCATGCAAGACCACCACCACCAGTTGGCGCGCCAAGTTGCTCGAGCCTCTGCATCTCCTCCTCGTACAGCAGATCTTGTAGCGCTCGTGCGATCGCCTCATCATTGCCGTCGTTCTGTTCAGCTGTGGTCCTGAATCCATCCTGTTCCTGTCGATGCAGCAAGCTCCCCGCTTGAGCACTGCCACTTGCGCATCCCTCAGTGATACTTGTCCGCCGTGTAGCTGCGTCTGAGATGACCTTGCGCATATCGATACCTCCTGCTACCGGAGCACCACCTAATCGATGACCGCCAGCATTCTGGTTGATCGTAGTTTTGCGCTTCTCGGCGGCTGATCTAGCTGCACGACGCATCTCATCGACTGGTATGCGCCTACCACCAAGTTTCTGACCTTGTGAGAGGAAGCCCTCGCCCGTGTAGCCCTTCATGAGCAGCGATTGATGTTCGTCACGGAGCTCGTTCCAGAGGTTGTTGAAGTCGGCATTGTGGGGTCCAAAGACAATGTGCGAGAGCTCGTGTAGCAAAGTATCTGTGACCTGCTCCATAGATAGAAACTGCCTGGAATCATAATGGTATCTCAACCGGATAAGGATCCTTTCTGTGCGATTGATGTTGAGACCTACAGCATGCTTAGCCGCGGGTCCTTGTGATCCTATAAAGCGACTTACCTAGCAGCTGCGGTTCATCTGGTAAGAACTCAGCCAGTGTACCGACTTTCCAGCCGCGCTTTCGCATCATGGGTTTGACCATAGACGCAGCCTTGCGGAGCATGTGTAGCGCTTCTCCATCTCTTGGTAGGTGCTTCAGATGCTCGTACGCATCGAAATGGGCGTCAATTTCCTTCATGCTGTCTTTTCTCTCCGTAGTGGGATGTTGGTAGAAGGCTGGCTCTAGGTTGATGTTGTGCGATTGTACGTGGGGCTGAGGTATTGTCCGGCGACTCAGGTAAAGGCAGAAGTTGAAAGGCGCGGCCGACGTGAAGAAGACATGGGCGCAGAAGAAAAGAGAATCATGCGGAAGTAAACCAAATGAGAGATTCGAAGGTGAAGAGGCAATGCTGCAGAGCTCGGCCACGTAAGCTATCACGTAGATATTCACGCGTCGCTGGCGAGCGACATTGATGGCAAAGCTAAAACTGTGATGGAGTTCTTATGCGCAACAAAGGACTTTCGCAGCTCCGCATATAGAATGCAGTGCAGACGGAAGATTGAGGATCTGCTGCAGTCAGCAGCCTCTGGCTTCGTGAGGGGTGAAAGGATCCAGGCAGCCCAGCCCAGCGGCGTCGTGGTGGTGGCGCAAAGTTTAGACTCACGTGCCAACGCGATCCGTCTTTGACGTAGCCAGTGGAGTGAAGCTTGCAAGCTCATATCACTTTGATCGATAACGATCTCGAAGTTTGACTTTGCTCTACCGCTGCTATCGTACATTAATACCATAATATAGCAAACATGTCCGCCGACGACTCGCACCTCCTGGGTGTGGTGAGTGCTGATGTTCCTCGCCGCCAACTGCGCTGACCCGGACAATGAGAACAGCTTACGGACTACACAAAAGACGTACGGAACTTCACAGGATCAATATGGGACGCCAGCGACCGACACTTTGCCAACGTAGCCGGCTATGTGAAGCGACACGTCCCCGAGCACTGGCTGCCTGAGTATGCGCGACCGCCCCCGCCGCCTCCTCCACCACATCGTGTGACTGGTGCCTACATCGAGCGACTCCAAGACTGGGTATCAAGGAACCGCGCACTCACTGCAGCAATCGTCGCATTCTTTGGCACAGGGAGCTACATGCTATGGAGGCAGAATAGGTCTCACAACCGCAAGAGGAGGGCGAGGCGAGCAAGCAATGGAGCCAGGCGAGAGGTCGTGGTGATTGCTGGGCCGCCAAATTCGCCCATCACGCGGTCGCTGTCACTAGATCTTGAGCGCCGCGGCTTCGTCGTATACATCGTGTGCTCGAGCATGGACGAGGAACAACAGGTCTTGAGTGAGTCGAGAGCAGATGTCAGGCCGCTGCACCTTGACGTTGCAGATACCATGGGTACAGAAGAAGCTATGGAGCGCTTTCACACCATGCTCACAAGGCCACATGTCGCCTTCCAGGGTGCAAGTCCACACAACCTAAACCTACGAGGCGTCGTGCTTGTGCCAGACTTGATTTTCCCTTCAGGACCGATAGAGACCGTTCACCCTGAGCTATGGTCGGATGCCCTGAATGCCAAAGTACTGAACACAATAGCAGTGACGCAGGCGCTGCTCCCGACCATCTGTCAGTTCAAGTCAAGGGTACTCATGCTTACCCCAAGCATCGTTGCGTCATTACGGCCGCCGTTCCACAGCGTCGAGACTACGGTCGTGTCTGCGCTCGAGGGTTTCCTTGCGACTTTAAGAGGAGAGCTTAGGACCCTGAGTATCGATGTCATACAATTCCATCTCGGGACATTTGATTTTTCAAATGTCGGTCCGAAACACCAACTCCAAACAAAAGCAGCTCCAAACCCGCATGCCTGGCCCACAACTACACGGCAGCTGTATGCTGATAACTTTGTAAACCACACACGGGTAGGGCAGAGTCGAGGGTTGTTCAATCAGAATAGTCATGGCACCTCCTTACGTGAACTGCACAACGCTGTCTTCGACGCAGTGACCCAGAAACGTCCACGCAAGGTCTGGTGCGTTGGCCGCGGTAGTGTGACCTATGGACTTATAGGAGACTGGGTACCATCCAGTCTGGTAGATTGGATGATGGGCCTGAGACGTGTGTCGCTCGACACAGCATCCAAGCCGAAGTTGGAGGACAGCGTGCAGTCGTGGGAGAGAGTCGAGGCTGTTGCGTGAGGCAACTATGATGCCGATATGCGCTCGAAGCAGCGAATCTGGCGATGTGTATCTTGGCTGCTACCCGAGTACCGACAGAATGCAGATCAGCGTTGAAGAAGTCTGGAGCATGACGCGACTAAGCACGACTAATGATTGGTCACGTCACGTTTGCATCTTGAAGCTTATTTCGGCCGTCTGCAAACGATTTGAAAAGGTGTTGTAAGAATACGAATTTTATTGAATCGACGAAGCTAGCAACAAATCCATCAAAGCAGCCAACCGGTCTCTTTGTTGGGTACGCAAACAATAGAAAACTCTCAGCTCCCGCACCGCTGGCCAGATGAACAGTCGTTCGTGTGTTTGATGAGGTACAGCTGTCGCAGACGCAATGGGACCCACTCGGTCTCCACTCCCGCAGAGCGCCAAAATGAAGTTCGACGCGCAGTGGGTGCCACTAAGCAACGGGTATCGTCCGAAACTGGCAGGCGCCGCTGGGCGAATTAAACTTGGTGAAACGCCATAGCGTGCGTTGAAAGCCCGAAAGGTGCCTGCATGTCACTGTCAGACTGTGAAGATATTGTCTGAAGAGTTGTGTGCTACGAGAGTTTTCGATAGGGGGATCGCTACCTCTTGCCTCTGGCGTTGTGCGCAATCTGAAGGACGCTGATCTCGCGCCAATGGTTGCTATTCATGGCACTGCAGTAGCGGTCGCAGGCTAACGGCGCAACAGGCTTCGACGCAGGGCCTGGTCTCTTTGCTACCCGATTGGTGTGTGCTAGTGCGCAAGGAGGACTCCCCAGACAAAGCTGGTTTTGATGCACATGTGGTCGTCCTGCCAAGCGATTTCAGGAGGTCAAAAGTTTGGGTGCACCCACGCGACAAGGTGGTGACTCGCTTCCTCAGGTAGACATTGCGAGGCCTCGAGTGTTCCTCTCCGTCGTCACCTTCCCTCGACCGTGTGTCGTGTATTACGCTCCTTCGCTGCTGCTCCCCAATATACCCATTGAAACCCCTGGCCCCCTTCCATGTCGATTGATCGACACTTTCTCTAACAAACGACGACACCACCCCTCTGCACCGCCTCGAATCCCGGCACGGCTCTCCTTGTTCCACCTCCAGACAGCGCAGCAACGGTGTTGGCACCCGCCGCCCTAAAACCCACCTCTGCTCGACTCCGGCCTCGACAGTCGCACGTTTCACTGCGCGCATGACGACCCAGCGTCACCGCCCGTTCGACTCCATGAGATATCCTTGCGCCTACTGAACACCACCCTCGCTGTCCTTTTGCCTCCGCCATGGTGGGCCGACCGGAGCGCCCATCCGCCCTAGGGCTGCGTTCCTACTCTCACGAGCCTCTCAGCAATAATGCTAGCGTCGCCAGTCTCACCAGCGCCAGCATGAGCAACCTCTCTCTCGCCGACCTCCCCAGCCCGCGCGCCGGCGATGCACCACCTGCACTCTCCCCTCTGGACGCCCTTGCGCTGCAGGGACGACTGCTGGCAAAGCGCTTCGAGCAGGCCGACAAGAGCGGACGTCGTCTCAGCAGACTGGCGCCGCTCACTATCCAGAATGAGTTCGGCAACCGCTCCGGCTACTTTTCCTCGCTGTCGTCGACCGTCAGCTCTCCCAACGAGGACCTCGGGCCTATCTCAGCAGGTGGTGTCGCACCGCCTGCCGAGACGTCCCCTCGCCAGCACGTGTCAGACAGGCACAAGTCGTGCTACCCGCAGATCAGCAACGAGGAGCCCCAGTATGCCCAGTCGCTACCCGCACGCAGCCCTCTTGCCCCAATTGGCGAGAGCAGTCCCGCCAGCCCGCCGCAGGGCTACTTCGACATCCCAAGGTCGCACTCGCATGACACCGTGGAGCCTCACATCGGTGTCCGAGAGGCTACGCCCGTCAGCCCTACCGGTCCAACACCAACATCTCAATTGTTCTTGAGCCCCCAGAGGAAGCCGTCGTCTGACTCGATGCCCCGTTTCCAACCACGCTCCAACCTGCTTCCCCCAAGAAAGGCCAGCAACCACTCGCAACGCTCTCCGAGACTGTCACCAAGCATCAGGTCTGTCCAAGACAGCTCAGATGAGGTTGACGACCTGCCACTGAGTGGCTCGTATGATTCTTTACCGCGCAACAGAGCTCTGTCCCCTAGCTCCAGCCTGTCCCGCGCTCAATCCCCCTTTACACCCACAACGACCATGCCTCGCTCCCCTTCTGCGGCTTCGGAGCACTCCGTAAATGGACATCTCCCCCGTCCAGCTTTCAACTTCTCTAGGCCAATCAGCCGGCAGAGCACCAGACCTTCCATTGATTGTGTCAGACCTTCCATTGATTGTGTCAGGCCTTCGCTCGACATGCCTTCTAGACAGCCTTCAGACGAGAGTGTCTTCATGAGGCCCTCTTGTGACAGCAACCTTAAGCGCCAGGATTCGACTGACGGACTCACCTCTAACTATGCCAACGAGACAGTACATACTCCTGTCAGTATGGTCAGTGAGGACTTCCGCCGATCAGGCGATTATTCGAACAATCCGGCACCATCTTACACATACACTACATTCGACCTGCCCCGGGGCAGGAAGCTTGATCGCCGATCAATCGGCATCGAGGACTTCTTCAAGAAGCAAATTACCTGGGACCAGTCTAACGGACAGCAAAGGCCACCTTCACCCGAGTCACCACCTCGTTCATTCGAACAGAAACGATCGCCACAGACCCCATCACTCACTTCAAGCAACAGCACCATTCGTGCTGCCACTGCCGGTACCGCAGAAGTCACTGCTCAAGAGCATTGCGATATTGGCATCGGATTGCACGAAAAGGGCGAGCTGTTGAAGTCCACCTACCATCTGCGCCTGGCAGCTCGTGGAGGGCTTCCCGAAGCCATGCTTTGGTATGGTCTTGCCTGCCGCCACGGTTGGGGTATGCGCGAGAACAAGGCAGAGGCACTGCAGTGGCTGCGCCGCGCTGTCGATTCTGGTCACCTTGAGATCGCAGACGATGAACAAGGACAGTCAACCGACATCACCAAAAAGAAGCAACATCGCGCGCAGTACGCCGTCGCAATCTACGAGCTCGGCAAGTGCTACATGAACGGCTGGGGTGCTGCTCAGGACAAGACGCTTGCTCTTCGCTGCTATGAAATCGCAGGAAACTGGGGCGACCCTGACGCTCTAGTCGAAGCTGGCTACTGCTACGCAGAAGGCGTTGGCTGCAAAAAGGATATGAAGAAGGCTGCCAAGTTTTACCGCGCAGCTGAAGCCAAGGGTATCAGCATGGTCGGTAACAGCTGGTGAGTAGCATCTTCCATTTGTTCTAGTCGCGACGTCACTGACACAATGGTAGGATCTACAAAGACAAGTACAACGACGACAACACTAGCACCTCCGACTCTCGCTCCGTCCGTTCGGGACGATCAACCAAAAAGGACAATTCTGAGAAGAAGTCCCGCGACAAGAGCCGCACGCGTACCATCTTCGGCCGCAAGAAGAGCCACACTGCATCTTCAACTTGAGCTTTGCTCACCCTTGTATATGAGACCCACGATTTGGCTTTTACATATCTGGCGACGGCGTCCTCGGATCAGCGGCTGCCTATTCGTTTTGCATATACCTTCAGGAACACCGACAGGTTCGCAGAGCCTCTCTGCCTGTCACCATCCTTTGCTTGCGTGTTTGTTTCTAAACCTGACTTTACTTTCGTTTGTACTTGTTCGTTTTGATACCTGCCCGGTGCATGGCATTGCGTCACTTCTTGGGCCAAAATTTCTTCCATTTCTGGACACTTCGACACCATTTTTCTTTCATTTTTGGCTATATCTTTGCTACTTTTCCTTTGTCCATAAGAATTTGCACATAGCGGCATGCTTTCATATCTCTCTTGAGCGTTGACGACAAGCTGGTTTTCCTTTCTCTTGTAATCTAATTCCAGCATTTGATGTGTTGGTTGGAGCGCGCGGACTGCATGAGGCGTTCGCAGCGGCTTGTTGGCTGTAATTCTGCTGTATGAGGCGGATTTGGAGGATGTTTCTTCATTGGATCGCGGTGATGCTGGAATGCTCACGGCGCTTTTGTGTACAGAAGATGGTGAAAGCTAGTATCGAATGACACTCGAATACCTCCAACCTTTGTTCTTCTCGACCAATCGTAAATTTGTTGGCTAATGTCAATGCCTAGCATATATCGTATCCTACCACACAGGTGATTCACACATGCACTCCGCCACACTAGGTTCACCGTGACAGATCATCTGCAACAATGTACGCTGATCAGTCGGCCTACACAGGCATGTGCGCCTCACCGGTTCTACGGCCTATACATTCTCTCACTGTCACCTTTACGCTCACCAACCCTTTTTGACCTACTTCATCACCGCGAAACACCTATAACACCACCATATTGGGCCTCACAGACAACAAACTCATCGCCAAATTCATCAACGGCGGCGCACCTCCCGCATCCTACACGCAACAAGCCCGTGTCAGCCACACCCGAGCTACCAGGCTTACGCAACAACAGCGCAAATCCAGAATAATGGACTGCAGAAGAGGCAGATCTCTCTGAATCTGCCGACGCAGAGGGAGAAGGAGCAGTTGGAGCGTGAGGAGCGGGCGAGGAGGGAGAGGGGCGATGATAGCCGTAAGTGATTTTGAATTTGATGGTGCGGAAGGGCTTTTGTTGGGGAGGGGTATGGGGTTGATAGGATGAGGCCTACGAGGGTTAGGGATGGTACGTTGAGGAGACTGCAGAGGAAAATAGAGAAGATTACTGATTTTGGAGGGAGAGGGAGTGGGTTTGCTATGGATTGATGGAGGGAGCGAGGGCTGGGTTCTGAGCGCTCTGGGTCTGCACTATCTTCGATGTTCTATCTGTCAGTCCAGGTTTTAGAGGTTCCTCGTCTGTCGAAGCGGAGATGTTGTGTTCTGCTGTTCTTTCTTCGTTGGCCTAGCTTTACATCCAGATTGCGTCACCAACAGCTGCTCCCCCTGTATTAGCTCCACAGCAAACCTGACTCCGTACTTCCTATACACTTCTTCCGACCAACCCATTTTCGCAAAGCTGGCAGCATAGCACTCCACCACCCCGGATCACTCGCATCGTACAATGCTATGATGGTTGTAGGCTGAGCCGTATCGTCACCCCCACTAATCTTGGGTTTTGCCACTGTCGGTTTCTCCCTCGTCTACATTGCCTACCCTCAAATGGGTTTTCAAGCACATGAGCGATGTAACGCTTTTGCCCACTAGTAATTTGTTCTTCTAGCAGATACCTTCAATTGCGCCTATGCCAACTGTTAATCTGCAGTACTCAAACACCGAACCGACATCCATACTTCCGGTATACCTCATCTGATTGCAGCCATGCACGCATGGCAGGAATGATAATCTATAAGGAGGAATCACTTGCATCAGATGAGAACTTGAACAATGTTGGCTGCCCCTCGGCCGTCTCTGACTCTGCATCTTCACATGAGACGAAGACATTGTAGAAAGTCCACCCACGGGCGTGCTCTTGGTCTAGGAACCACGCTCGCAGCGCAGTCTGCAGAGCACGCTATTCCCACAACTGCTTCAGCTCCTCCTGGCGGGAAGTGATATCCAATATCACCCCCCCTCGGAATCCACAGTCTTCATCCAAGAACTCAATGAGCAGTCTGCTGGTATCCTCGTATTTCTTCATCGCTTGTCTCACGGCTATCAGAGCTTTTGCAACTCGGTGCCCGTACTTTCTGAAATCCAGGACAACCAACATAGCCTGAAATTCTTCATCAGGAAGTCTGAGATCTCCCGGTTTTCCTCCGTTCGCGTGATCGTGCGAATAGGTACTCCTTTGATGTCGAACTCCGGTACATGAAGCACAACATCGACCTCCACAGCTTCTATGTTATGAGAATGAATCACTGTCTCCACGGTCCGGATGGGCGCTGCTTTGTGCGGGAAAGGACAAGGCCCACAAACATTGCGCGATATTTGTAGTTGCCGCATGTTTCCTAGCAGTGGAGGTAGGGTAGGCCAACTAGCTTTAAGCGGTGCCTTTTTAAAATCCAGCTCTTTGTAAATTTGGCGTTTCGAGTCTGACATGGTTTGACGAGTCTTCTTTGGGAAACTTCGAAGGGCTGGGGAGGCTGAAGTTTTCGGCTTCTTTTCCGCTTGGAGCGTTTGCTCCAGTTGTTTTAGTCGTCTTAATCTTGTCGTGATGTAGATTTATCGAGATCGGCGTTTGGAGTGAACGGACGCGGGAGAGAAAGAATGTGAAATTAACTCTCAATTACATGTACTGCTGATGCGCGTCTCAGAGTGTACCATGGTACACGCAACGTGCGAACCATAGTACGCTCGCAAAGGATCTCTTACCAGGACATTTTGTGTCCCCTAACCTAAGTTGCGCTGTCCAAGGTATATCATCTCCTAAGCCACCTTACGAGATCCCTAATACAACATTCATGTCTCGAGCCTGAATCTCCCCGGCCCCACATATACTCCTCACTTTCTGGTTATGAAACCCTCGGGTTAGCAAAAGCAGAGTTTTGCCGATTGGAAAAGCCCCAAATGTTCGAACGGGTAGTGAAGTCAGGATCGGCCAGCCTGCTCTCATGAGGGCTTAAGCCCGAACTCGCGGGGAAAGACCAGAAAGATGCCTCGGTACGAACGACGTCGATGCCAGGAAGCTCGGCGAGCTTCAACAACGTTGTTCAGCATCGCGTCGTAGCTTTTCCCCTTCAATTTCATTTGCAATTCGTCTCCGCATCTCACTCCATCGCAGATTCCTAGGAATCTCTCTACCAACCATGAGTTCTTCGAACGAGTTCCATGGATGGCTAGGTCGCGACAACAAAGCCGCCGAGGGCAACATGACCTGGTCGTCCTTCAAGCCCAAATCTTTCAGTCCCATTGACGTCGACATCAAGATCTCACATTGTGGAATCTGCGGATCTGACATCCACACTCTGCGCTCTGGATGGGGCAATACACGTTATCCGGTCTGCGTTGGGCACGAAATCGTCGGTCATGTTGTACGCGTTGGCGATCAAGTGAAACATCTGAAGTTCGGGGATAGAGTCGGTGTTGGTGCTCAAGCATTCTCATGTCTCGAGTGCGAAGATTGCAAAGCTGGACTCGAACAGCACTGTGGCAAGATGATCGGCACTTACAACGGGAAGTATCCAGATGGGAGCTTCAGCATGGGCGGCTATGCAGATTACGCGCGCGTTCCAGCACACTTTACGATCAAAATTCCTGCTGGTCTGAAAAGCGAGGATGCAGCGCCGATGATGTGTGGTGGGATCACAGTCTACTCACCCTTGAAGAAGAATGGTGCAGGGCCGGGCAAGAGAGTAGGAATCGTGGGTCTGGGAGGTCTCGGCCATTTCGGTGTGTTGTTTGCAAAAGCCATGGGCTGTGAGAAAGTCGTTGCTATCTCGAGGCGGAGGAACAAGGAAAAGGATGCGAGAACGATGGGCGCAACTGACTACATCGCCACTTCTGAGGATGAGAAGTGGGCTCGTAAGCACTCGCAATCCCTCGATCTTATCATTTCGACCGTCAGCTCCCCGGACATGCCATTAGAATCATACCTGCGACTGCTGACGACCAACGGTACTTTCATTCAGGTCGGCGCACCAGAAGACAAGCTACCAAGATTCGGTGCTTACAGTCTCATTCAAAAAGGTGTGAAGATTGGTGGCAGTAACATCGGCAGCCCGAAGGACATCGAAGAGATGCTCAACTTTGCTGCTGAGAAGGGTGTGAAGCCGTGGATCGAACAACGCAACATGAAAGACGCGAACAAGAGCGTGGTAGATATGGAGGATGGAAAGGCGCGGTACAGGTATGTGCTTGTCAACGCAGATCAAGAGGGTCGTGCAAAATTGTAGATGTCGAACATGTGCCTAGTAATTGCAATCCTTACTTGCGCTTCGCACGAAGGTGACTACTGACACTTGCGTGCATTGCGACTGTCGCCTCGTATTAGCTGTATTGAGCGAGGCAGGTGCAGCCGGAACGGCAATTCTTGGCGAACAACCTATAGAAACCCTTCCGACACTGCCTCTTTTGCTTTCGCATCCCTGACAACTCCACAAACATCGCGCTGACCGTTTCTCAGCCAATGCCAGTCATTCCAGCAAGGCGCAAAACACATTCAAAATCACGAAAGGGGTGCTTACAATGTAAGAAGAGACATACCAAGGTAAGTACTACTGGTGTGCCTCGGTGCTGTTGGACAACCAACCAATGAGGAGCCATGTCGAGCCGTGTTACAGTCCTTCATCGACACTAGACGTCAAGTTGCTCTAGACTTTCGAAGAAATTGATGTCAAGGTCCGATTGAACACAAAAACTAACCAAAATCCACAGTGTAATGAGGAGCATCCACAATGTGCGAACTGCATTCGACTGGAGATTACTTGCGAATGGCCACCTCCGCGGGCAAGGGTTCAACATGCTTCACCGCAATCCACCGGTCTGGGACCAAGCCCTATGTCTCGAGAGAACTCCTACATCGGCAGCCCTCTCCCAACACCTTCGGTAGCAGCGCGCCCGACTTTTACTCTCGAAGACATGCAATTGCTACATCACTGGACAACAAGAGTGTATCTATTTCACGACCCTACCAGCGACGACGAGAAATGGGTATGGAGTGAAGGTATTGTAAACGTTGCTTTCCAGCATCAGTTCCTCCTCCACGGAATACTCGCTTTCTCAGCATTGCATAAGACGCTGGTCGATTCGCAGGGAAATCGTGCCAGCCTGCTTGCGCAAGCCGATGCACACATGTCTACATCCCTTGCAACATACCTGAGATTGCTCGAGGAAAACGCTTTGGAAACCGTTGTTCCCTGTTTCCTCCTCTCTTCAATCTGCTTCGCATACAACCTTGCTACGGCCCAGGTCGAAGAGCCTGAGGATCCTCTCGGTGCTATTTTGCACTGCTTCCGTTTGCTTCGCGGAGTGAAAGTCGCCATCGGCCAGCACTGGGAACAACTCCAGCAAAATGATATCATCGGAACGTTGCTTGGCCCAGTGCGTTTCGTTGGTCAGCTCCCATTACCCGAGGATACGGAGTGTACTCCCCTTCTTGATCTGAAACTACTCGCGGATCAATTCGACACGCCCCAGAAGGGTATATGCTTGGAGGCTATCGAAAACCTCCACAAGACATTCGTCAAGACTACATTGTGTTCTTCACTGAAGCAAGAGCACAGTATAATCATGACGTGGTAAGTTGATCGATTCGACCTTCTTGGACATAGACAATGCTAAGCGACTGAACACAGGCCAGCACTGCTAAGTACCGAGTTTCTGGATCTGTGTCAAGCTCGCAACCATGTCGGTGTTCTTATCATAACCTACTGGGCTGTGTTACTGGCACGAAACACAGGTGCTTGGTGGTTAAACGGCTGGTTGGTTCGACTGATACATGCTTGCGAGGAGCTGCTAGCACCAATACCAGAGTTAATGAAGTGGCTCGATTGGCCCATCGAGATGTCAAAACATCGTCCAGCTCGGCTTGCAACTTTGTGTTCTACACGTCCTTCACCCATGGAGCTCACTCATGCCGATGGAACGACTCCCGTCAACACACCGCCTCCAAACACTCATAATACCACAGAGGCATATCAAGGCCCAGCTCAGCCCTAGCGGTCGATATCAGCCACCTCAAGCATCGCCGAGCTCCGATGAAATGCGTATCCGCACCACGTGCCCTCCCTCCTATCTTGCCCTAGCTTAGGATCAGGCGTGCACTTCGTCAAGCCCCATCAATAAACCATGTTATCAGCATTGAATCATATCGAGTATTGAGCGCAGATGAGAGCTTCCCCGCGATATCGGATCCGAGAATTCGGACGTTTATGCAGCGATTACCACGAGCTATCGTCATAGTGCTCACTGGGGACGCAAGGGTGGGAGTAGCATGTACTGTGATGGGCGATATAAGAGTAGAAGTATGGCAGTATGAACCCACAGGAAACCTCCAATTGACCCAATTGGTCACCCTCTTTCACTTGGACTCCGAGCCCCCCAATACACTGATCAACATGCGTGTTTCTCTCGCGACGGTGCTCACTGCAACCTTGAGCCTCGTGTCCTAGAGCGATGCTCTCAAGATCCTTATGAACAATGACGACGGTTTCGGTAGCGGCAACCTGCGCAGATTGTACAAGCCGCTTGTCGACGCTGGATACGAAGGTACATACCTCATCACCACTCTCTCCCTTTAAGCGATTAAGTAACACCTGGGATACAGCGTGAGCGTCAACATCCCCGAGCTCGTCAACGGAACTACATCACCAATCATCAAAATCAGACTGACCGGCAACGCGAACACGGACGCTGTCGTGTATAACGAGACCGCAGGGCTGTTCGACTGGATCATTTTGACCCTGTGGCGGCGGGGATTAATGCGGCGTACAACCGCGATAGGAGTTTGACAGGTGAGACGTAGATTGTTGCCGGTGGCGGTATTAGTGTGAACGTTTTCACGATGGATTACTCTGCGCCAGAGAATAAGTATACAGAGTCGGTGTTTGGGAAGGTGGACAGCTTGTTCAGCGGTGTGAATGAGACGAAGTATAGTAAGAGGATGGTGGATGAGCGGATGAGGAAGAGGGGTGTCATGATGAGCGGAAGGAATGTGTTGAAGGTATCATATATGTTCTGAGTGCTCTACTCTCATCACCTGAATATTCAAAGAATCGAGCACATCCCTGCTCCTCACCACTCCTTACTCGCCATGCTCGCTTTTGCTTATGATCAAATTAGTGTACACAGCAGTCTGAGATACCTATGCCAAATCGCAGCAAGTGAGTAGATGAAATCAATAGAACGCCACGTCGCACCTGCACCACCCTCTAGCCGGAAGCGTATATTACCAGGCCTCGACGTCGAAGCCCTCTTCCGAGAACTCAGTCGCAACGACAGTTCTCCGCGAGAACTGGCGACCGGCGAGCGCCTTGATAGCCTTCTGTGCAGAGTCGGTATCCTGGTACTTGATGTAGATCTTGCCAACACCGAGGTTGATGCGGGCTCCAGCAGGGCGGGGGATCTTGATCTCGACGATGGGACCGTATTTGCCGCACTCTTCGTCGATGTCTTCCTTGATTTCTGTGACTTTCGTTAGCAAGCACTTGATAAGTTGTGTAGTAGGTATACATACCCTCGTATTCCTCGTCGTTGATCAGTTCGTCAGATGTGACCATATTCATCAGGCAGATGACACGGCTGTGCTCCTGGTCTTTAGCAGCCTCAGCACCAGCCAGTGAGGCGATAGCCTGAACGCCGCCATCGAGACCTGTTGTCTGCTGTAGACCGACAGTTGCGCGTGAAACCTTCAAGTGGCCATCGCCAAGGGGAATGTCATTCAGGCCCTCAATGACAGCGTCGACGATCTCGTTATCGGCATACTCGCAGAACGCGATACCGCGGTGCTGATCAGTGCTGGTGTCCTTGACCAGAATGAAAGCGTTGAGCTTGCCCATAGTTTCGACAAGCTCGCGAACTTGCTCCTCCTCAATGTACTGCGGGATATTGACGATGCTGAGCTTGTTGGGGCTGTCCTTGACGTCGGTCGAGACCTCGTCGCCGGAGTATGCGTTCTCGTCGCGGGTGGGTGTGATGTAGTCCTTGGGTCGGCGAATGGACAAACCGCTCTGATCAGGGCCACCGGAGTTATCGCGCATCGCGATACCGTTCATAGCAAGGGCGACGGTTGCATCCTCGGCGGTTTTGAACTCGAGGAGCGCGTACTCGTTGCTGCTCGCGACTTGTGCGGAAATGCATGGGTCTTGACCAGCGACGACGTTCAATCCGTTCAACTGCAGGTTGAAGAACTCGACAATCTCCTCGGACGTTGCGCCAGAGGGTAGGTTGTGGATGTAGAGGCGCTTCGCCTGCTTTGCGTTGACCGTCTGGAGCGCGGCGGACGAGGCAGTACCAGCAGAGGGGCTCATGAAGGCAGCCAACTTCGAGGGGTCCATGGGTGCAGCGCGGGGTGCGCCAGGCAGAGGGAACATGCCGGACAGCTTAGCCTGCTCAGCGGTGATGTTCTCGTAGCCAGCCGGCTTGATGTCCCACTGTGTCATACGGCGCGGACGGTTTTGGATGTTGGTGAAGGGCGTAAGATCCGGTGTAGGCTCGCGCTGCTTTGCGACTGGTGAAGGCGACTTCTGGCGCTGGTTTCCTCCCCTGTTTCCGCCAAAGCCTCCATCTCGTCGTCCCCTGCCACCACGGTCATCTCCACCAAATCGATCGTTGCGGTCGCCCCTGTCACGTCGTCCATGGCCACGGTCATCGCCGTCGCGGTCACCTCGGTCTCTTGGGCGGTCGCGCCTCGAGTACGAATCGCCCCAGTCCCGGCGGCCGCCTCCTTCACGGCCACCACCCTCACGGCCACCACCCTCACGGCCACCACCTTCAGCGCGGTCGCCTCCGCGGTCGTCGCGCCTTTCACGGCGGGCGTATGTGTCTTCGCGCTCGCGCTCACGGTAGTCGCGGCTGGACGAGTACGTGTCGACCTCGTAGTCGCGGCGAGAGCTGTGTCGAGGAGAACGCGAACGGCGGCGGCGCCTATCACCGCCCCTGTCGCGATCGCGGTGGTCGTCCCTCGAGGACTGCGTCTTGGTCAGTCGGCCGTCAGTGTTGCGCGTGGAGTTTGCACTCACGTAGTTCCTCGAGCCTCCACCTGAGCGGCCGCCGTCTGCTTATGTTAGTACTGTTTCATTGCGGGGCACTGCACACCAGTCAGTACGTGTACTGAGACGCCAGCTTACCTCGGGAGTAGCTGTCACCGTTCATCTTGACAGCTGGAGCGCTGGCTGGAGCTGTGTTGCGCTGGTACAGAATTCAGCCGCGTGCTATTGGCTGCGGTGTAAAGAAGTGATCAGACAGCTGCAATTAGCAAACCGAGATCAAGTAGTGCAACGAATGCAACTTCCAGCAGCGGTCCGAATACTAGGACACGATGCTTGGGCAGGTGGTGATGTAGTCGTCGCTGCGAGAAACTGTAAGTTCACGGAGAAACGACTGCTAGCGTACTTGGCAGGCGCGTGCCCCTGTCACTGTGCACCATCAACATTCACTCGAGCTGCATTGGCTTGTATATCTAGACAGAACAACATCATGGCATTGCGAGCTGCCAAGTGGTACAAGCTGCCCATAAGCCTGACTGAGCTTTGCATCGATACCACATTGCGCTGCGGGCAATCTTTTAGGTAGCTTTTGGCTCATTCGCGTAGCTTAGAACAGGTTCTAATGCCCTTGCTATAGATGGCGGAAATCGGACGATGATGTATGGTCTTGCGCCATGCATGGACGCATACTCTCCCTCCGCCAGGACGCAGACGCTCTTCACTATCGCGCCATCTTCCCATCCAAACCCGCCCTTCCTACTCTACCAGCATCTATCACACCTTCAATTGCCGCCGATGACGACGACACTCTCGCTTTCATATACCACTACTTCAACCTAACATCCAACCTCGGCCAGCTGTACGAACAATGGGCAGCCTCGGACGCCAACTTCAAACGACGAGCACCAAAGTTCACAGGCATACGAATACTGCGGCAAGATGCTTGGGAGGCGCTGATAGGCTTTATATGCAGCAGCAACAACAACATCAGTCGGATATCAGGCATGGTACACAATCTGTGTCTACACTACGGCCCGCTGATAGGACGTATCGACCATGTACCGTATCACGACTTCCCAACACCACAAGCCCTCTGCAAACCAGAAGTGGAAGAGCACCTCAGGAAGCTAGGCTTTGGCTACCGAGCGAAATACATTGCAAAGACGGCACGTATAGTTGCTGAAGGGAAGGGAGGGTTAGCATGGCTGGAAGCGCTCAGCAACCCAGAATACCCGCAATTTGGCGTTGAGCCGAAGCCAGCTGGCGAGCTTCTGGAGGGTGGCAGAGAGGGCTATCGCAAGGCACACGAAGAGCTGCTTGTGCTCCAAGGTGTTGGTCCAAAAGTTGCTGATTGTGTCTGCCTCTTCGGACTTGGATGGCTCGAGTCCGTTCCTGTTGACACACACGTCTGGCAGATAGCGCAACGCGACTACAAGTTCGGGAAGGGCAAGCACAGCAGTCTGACTGCAGCGACATATGTTGCGATTGGCAATCTTTTCCGGAAACTCTGGGGCAAGGAAGCAGGTTGGGCGCATTCTGTCTTATTCACGGCTGACTTGAAGGCGTTCTCTGAGAGAACAGTCGCAAAGACAGAGGTCAAGGAAGAGGAGGTTACGATTAAGATAGAGGGTAACGACGTTGTGGCTGAAGCTGTTGTCAAGCAAGAGACTGTCAAGCGCAAGCGGATAAAGAAGGAGCCAGATGAGAACGAACATCAGGTCCTCGAAGTCAAAGAGGAGGTCACACGAAGGAGCAAAAGACAACGAGCGTAGAGCATCTTAAGATACCCCACAGCTCGCCGAGACGTTCGCACTTCATATCTTATCATTGCCCTGGGTATGAACGATACCAATTATTATGTCCACTTATGCAACATGGGCAACATAGCACGATTTTGAGGTGTCAGTTCCTACAAAACATCCAAAAGATCAACAAAAACATACAACAGCGGGTATTTGCTAGTGGTCACCCACCTAACTACTAATCCACTAGTATATTGCTTAAATAGGGCTGAGCAAATGGGAAGCCTTGCTGTCTCATGGTTGCTCACCACAAAAATCCTTAATTCTACAGTATCTGGTGTTGCTGCTGCTGAAAACAGACCACAAAGGACACAAATTTGCAACTCATTGCATGTGCTGGTGGCACAGAATATATTGGATCCAACTACAGCATCCTGTTGGTCTGGCTATTTATAGTGGTCACAGAATCCCAATGTCCAACCATCACGTGCTGCCAGTGCCACGTCAAGAGAAGACAAAACATGTGTGGAGCACTGTAATTGTCACGGTATCCTCTCCAGATCCCCTGACAATATCCGGATCCGCTCTGTACTGTCCCTGACCGTATGCACCAAATCCCCAGCGTCCTTACACGCCTCCGAAGCGGACGTACAACCTCCGGTCACCTCCAGAGCGGGCCTGCAACCCCCAAAGCGGGAGTATTAGAATTCTGCAAGCCCTGCTCTAGGACTTGCAACCCCGATACCTATCCAACTCAGTTCCAATTATTAACCGGTAACCAAACGAACCCACACGTAAGTATATAGACTATTGCTGGTAGAGTTCTGTTCGGTACACAACATCTTGTACCTACTTAGATACCATATGTAGTAATTGATTTAGACTCCTAGCGAGTCCTAAAGGGCCTACTCGTAGCATCTTCGTGACATTACGTTGTGTCAACCCCTTATCCATCATGGCACCCAAATCCAATCCGCTGCAACTGATCCTTGCAGAGCTGGCATCAATTAAGGCTGGCAACGAGGCCCTGCAACAGACGCTAGCTCAACAAGAGGCCCAGCACCGTAGCGATCTGGCTACTCTCTGGCAGGACTTTGAAGAGCGCTTAGCTGTTATACAACAGTCGGCCTCCCGTCTGAAGAAGGTGGTTATAGAAACTAAGGATTCCCCAGCGCTAGAGACCACCCAGAAGTCTGGGAATGGCTCCTCGCCTTCCCAGTGTTACGATCCTATGTCCCACGATAGGACGACAAGCAATAAGTAACCGCCAACCAAACACGGAGGCCTGGGGGAAGGTGCAGCAAGGCAAGGCCGCCCGGCCGGCGCCTAGGGGATTACTCTCAG